GCAGACATCTTTGTGGACAGAGGGAGAGGGCTACTGCTGGGCACTGGGAGGTGACGTCCAAAGCAGGGGGGTGTCATCAAATAGACGCAGAACGTTGTGGAAGAGAGGGGATTAGGAATAATGGTGTAGCGGTTCAGTTGGAAGAGGAAAGTTGCCATGGAGAACAATGGGACCACGGGGACAAGTGACTTAAGAGTCAAATAAAATTTGGTATTTCTAAAAGAAGCTTCCAGCAGTATCTATTAACGAAGTGGTTGTTCCTAGGTGGTGGTTTTGATTCACTTGTCAGACCCTGGGAAGGTGAACGCTTACCATCTGAGGTCCTTCTTGGCCACTATTCTTGTCTCCATTTTTAAAGTCTTGAGGTCCCTTATCTGTGAAAGGAAGGAACGAAGGGAGGAAGAACTTCCTGAACTAAAGGGAACCTAACGGATCCATAACAATGAAGAAATTCATACGTAATAAAAATCTTTCTTGGCCAGGCCGTGGTGATGCATGCCTTTAATCCCAGGACTCGGGAGGCAGAGGCAGGAGGAACTTTGTGAGTTCGAGGCCAGCCTGGTCTACAAGAGCTAGTTTCAGGACAGGTTCCAAAGCTACAGAAAAACCCTGTCATGAAAATAACAAAAAATAAAAAATCTTTCCGACTAAATAACATCCCAGGCCTGATGAATTCATAACAGAATTTTGACATCCAAATGAGTACTATAGTCAATCCTTCTTAAACTATCAAAACAAAACAAAGAGCCGGCATGACTGTAATACCAGATAAAGAGACAACAACAACAACAAAATAGGTGACTATCCCTCATGAACATAGGTCCAAGTGCTTTCGATGCAATACTTGCAAACACAACACAGGCATACATAAAAAGACCATCCACCATAAACATTTATCTCTGAAGCAGCAATGTTTCATCAACATACCCATGACTTTTAGAGGCAAAAGTCACCGAAATGATATAATAGAAGTGGAAATAGCCTTTTACAAAATCCAACGTGCCTTATAGCTAAAAATCCAACTAAGCTTCTTGTTAGGGAGGACTCCAGGTTCCTGCCATCCACCTCAGCCCTTTCTCATTTGCAACAAATTTATGTGGTGTGTTTGTATTTTGTGTTTGTCTTCTACTACAGCTGTATTTGTTCTGATGCAACTGCAAAAAGCCCTTTCAGATACTGTGCGAGAACCTCATCCCTTTCACCCCAGGTCAGATGGAATTCTTTACACCAGTCCTGTTTTCTCTGTTTCCTTTGATGCTCCCTGCTGCTTCTGCTGGCTCACTTTGGAGCAGCGCTCCCTGGAGGTGGGACAAGGCACTGTCACCCTGAATCAACCCTAAACCCACTTCCTCTCACTGGATCACTGGCTCTCAGGTTCCTACCCCTCTCTTTCTGTGAAGCGTCTCAATTTTACTTTGCAGCCAACTCATCTGCTTATTGCTCTTTAACGCTTATTTTTCAAATGTCTCTCCAAGAATGCATGGGAGTAATCTCTTGATCCACTGCAGCGGATCCTGTTCAAATTTCCCTTCTGCTAAATGACCAAAGGACTCCCCTCTTCAATAGACCTAGGACTAACCCCCTCTGACAATGACTCTGCTCAGCTCTAAGCAGTTAAGAAAGAGTTGATGTCGCTGTTTCCCGCTTCTTTTGAGGCTCCTACTCCCCACCTTTTTCTGAGCTTATGGGTCTTTGCAAGGATAGAATGCCTTGGCTATAAACCAAGAGTCCTAGGAAATTACAGATAATCTTGCTCCGCAGTTACTGGTCAGCCCAGAAAGGAATATCTGTCTCACCTGAGCAGACAATTTCAGGGAGGAGAGGCTGCAGGAGAGAGACCTGGGCTACAGCTGCAGCACTTTCCTCATTCCCAACCCCCACACCGCCCACACGCCTACAAAGGACCACAGCCAGCTTGTTTCCCCTGGCAGGCCCCCCTCATTTCCTGTGGGAGAGAGGCTGTCCTTCACTGTGTACTCGAATGCAAACAGTCCAGACTGCTGAAGGTCAGACTCCAGTCTCTTTCTGCCTTCTCTCTTTTTAAGCAGACTCATAAATCATACACTTTCAATTTATAGGTATTTACCAACTGGATATGAAGAAAAGCTAATGTTTTACCTACACTGTGATAACTATGGCTAGCTAGCAATAATGGATTGTGTATTTCAAAATAGCTAGTGGAGAGCATTTCGCATGGCCCCAACACAAACTTAAAATGGCTGAAGTCACCATGATCTCACCACTGTTACACATATGTCTTGATCTGTCACACTGCACCCTATACATGCACAGAATTCCTAGGTGTCCTTTACATTTTTAAAGATATTTTAAATCGAGGCTGGAGAGACGGCTCAGAGCTTAAGAGCACTGGGTGCTCTTCCAGAGGTACTAAGTTCAATTTCCAGAAACCACATGATGACTTGTAGCCTTCTATAATGAGATCTGGTACTCTCCTCTTGTGTGCAAAATAAATAAATAAATCTTTTTTAAAAAGATATTTTTTTTTTCGAGACAGGGTTTCTCTGTGGTTTTGGAGCCTGTCCTGGAACTAGCTCTTGTAGACCAGGCTGGTCTCGAACTCACAGAGATCCGCCTGCCTCTGCCTCCCAAGTGCTGGGATTAAAGGCGTGCGCCACCACCGCCCGGCTTAAAAAGATATTTTAAATCAAAGGTAAAATAAGGATATTCTCGGACAATATCTAAAAGAATTAAACATTGTTGATCCACACTATAAAAAAAAATACTAAAAACTTCACTGAAGAGATACTATACCAGAGAAAAGACAGATACAAGAAGGGATAGCATTTCAGAAGTCCAGCCAGAAAGACTAAAGAGAAAATTAAACCATGAGTTTGATGTTTATAAAGTACACAGAAATTGCCGGTTATGGGGGCACAGGCCTTTAATCCCAGCACTTGGGAGGTAGAGGCAGGTGAATACCTGTGAGATGGAGTACAGCCTAGTTTACATAGTGTGTTCAGACTAGTCAGGACTAGATGGTTAAAGTCTATCTCAAAAAGAAGTAAAGAGGACTGGAGAGACGGCTTAGCCATTAAAGGCTATGCTCACAACCCAAAAAAAAAATAAAATAGAGGGGGGAGGAAGGAAGGAAGGAAGGAAGGAAGGAAGGAAGGAAGGGGAAGGGAAGGAGGGAGGGAGGGAGGGAGGGAGAGGGAGAGGGAGAGGGAGAGGGAGAGGGAGAGAGAGAGAGAGAGAGAGAGAGAGAGAGAGTTGCACAGAAGCCAAAATATCAAACAATAACAAAAAAAGGCAGGAAAGGAATTGTTACACATCTGAGAAATACAAATTAAGAGTAGAAACAACAACTGGACAGTCACAAGTATGATAGCCATCGCTAAGGCTGTAACATCCTGAGTGATGGCACGTGATCTACAGAGCAAAAGGGGCGAAAGGTGGTGCTGATGCAAACCACAGTTGTTTGGCAGGAGGTAGCAAAGCTACATCAGATCAGAATCTAGGCAATCTTGTTTCTAGGTATCCCCACAAGGAGAAACACATACAAATTTATGAAGCTATGTGCAGAAAGTCTCTGTAGCAACATGGTATATCCAAGAAAAACTTTGGTCACAAATACAAAAATTAATTACAACAAACTGTTAATAGTCACTAAAATTAAGGAAGGAGCGTGGCAATAAAAACCAAATGATTTAAACATGAAAATGTGGCCAACTGCAAGTTAAAGTAAGTATAGAAAAGATACACAAATCAATTTGAGTTGGGTTTAACACTTGCAGCCAAGTACTGTGAAGTAATTTTGCAAAAATATGTGTCAGAATGTAATTGTCTGTGAGAATGCCCATTTCAGAATTGCTAATATGAGGTTATAAATCATCTAGATATCCTGAAATTTGAGATGTTAAAAATCATTATAGTTTTAAGAGTCTTGTCTTTTAAGATTTATTTTTAGTTAAGTAGATGGAGGGGTATGGGCACGTGAGCATGTATGTCTGCTGAGTTCAGAAGAGGGTGTCAGGTCCCCAGGAGCTGGAGTTAAGGCAGTTGTGAGCTTCTTGAAGCGGGTGCTGGGGACCAAAGTCTAGTGCTGTGGGAGAGCATCCAGTGTCAGCCACTGAGCCATCCTTCCAGCCCCTAAGTCATCTTTATAAAAGGATACATTGTAATTAGTAAGCAATCACTAGGCTGTTACTCTAGTTACATAGTAATCCTAATTGTATAAAGCCTTTAAGACACATGGTGGGGCTGAGAATAGATCTCAGCGGTAGAGCACTTGCCTAGCGCTAGCAAGACCCCAGGTTTGATCCCCCCTAAAAGGACACACCCACCACCGTGTAATGATAACAGAGGAGGCTTGGGGACTGGTAACTGCTGACTGAGCATCAAAGGAAGCCATTACTCTTTCCATATTTCTCTATTTGAAATTTTCCCCAAGTTACCTTTTTAAATTAAAAAAAAAAATATGTCAGAGCACAGTTTAAGATAGCAAAAATGCAAATTACTAGAAGCCTAAATAACAAAGTATGATCATGACTTATTCCAAGAGAAGACTAAACACCCCAACAAAGAGCTCTAAGGGGATAAGATGGGTAACCTTTCTTAATGATTCAGGTGGGCATCTTTCATCACAGGTGGTAGCAATACTGCTAGAGCCCAGTGTGCATCTGGGTAAGTGGGATTCAGTGACCATGAGAAGGATTTTAGATCTTGGAGTTTCCAGACTCCTACCAGATGCGAGACGAATGTTCATAGGAATTCCAAGGCCCATTCAAAGGCCGACAGCAGATATAAACTTTATATTAACTATTTACATAAACTATAAAGTTATGGATAAAGTAACCAAGTAACCTAAGTCCACAATAATTCTCCTTTGACTTTCACCTCTCAGGACCCTAACCCTGATCCTGCACAATGGAAAGATGAAATCATATGTCTCTGTGACTATGATGCTAACTCTTAGGCCTGTGAGGACTTACAGAGAAGCAGGGTAATTATATAGAACACAATTAGAGATCTCCCAGTGCTTAGGTTTATAACATTTATTATCATACAAATTCTCATGAAACAGAAAGACTTCCTTGCCCAGAACTTAGACACAAGTTCCAAGAGTAGAAGATGTACAATATAGGAATCTCACTACAAAATTAAACATCTTCCAAGTTCATTCTCAGGTCCGTGTTTTTTGGATAAATATTTTACTTACAACAAACCCACTTAGATCTTTATAACATTGAAATTTAGTGTCACGCATCTTCTGCTCTGTGTAGTTTGAAAAATAGACATTTTCAAGTGCAACTTTCCAAAATAAATACTGATAAATTTTATATAAAAATAATTCATTCGATACAAACCCCATCCATGGAATCCATTTCAGGTTGCTCATAGAAACACGTGTCACAGTGTCTCAGTTGTAACCCGTTGGAGTTTAAGTTGCTCACTCAACATTGACGATGCGTGCAGAAGCCTTGACTGTTACAAACTCGAGGCTCAAGGGAGTAAACTCGCTGCCTGGGTTGCCTCCGTCTCACAGATGGCTCTTCACAGGTTTTGTAACTACACCAACGGCTTTCCCACCTGCATGCAGCCTCAGCTTAATCAAGCTACGGTGCGCCATTTTCATTTTGTGCTTTAAAGTCCGGGAACGGGTTTTTCCGAGAAACTACTTCAGAGCATTAGAGCAACTATTAAGATGAGTGTTGGAGGATGAACAAAGATAAATTTCCTTGAGAGTCACCTGGTATCAGAGATCTGCTCACATCCACTGGAAGGGACATAGAGCTGTAGACGCAGCAGCTCTTGATTCGTCAGTCTGCTGCCCACGTCCCTGTGTGCATGCCTCTCAATTCTTCCAGCCTAAAGTTTATTTTCCCGCGGCTCTCGGTAGCTAATGTCAACACTACTAGAGGGATGTGAACATATGCTTGGCATTGGCAAGAAAGGGGTTAATTTTACAGGAAAAGTATGAGAAGAATTGCAAGATTGACAAGGCAAAGGGTAGATATCCTAACTTCAAGTCCAGGCTCTCCCACTGGCTTGGGAACTTTACCCAAATCTTTTTTCAGAAAGAAAGGGACCTCGCTTGTCAAATGCAGAGCATCTATAGATGGAGCATAAGGCTGTATTAGGAGCCCGACTCTCAGAGAGACAGTGTGGCTTCTGGTTTTTCATCTTTGTTCTTCGGAGTTTGGGTGTTGATCTAGGAGACATAAAATCCTGCCACTCCTAACACATGATTTCTCTTCTCACTGTTTGGAGTGAGCCATGGCTCACACGATGGATTCACTTTCTATAATTGAATTTAAAGAGAGTGGTTGTTTTTCAGTTTGAGACCTTTAAAAGACATAGTCAAAACTCCACAGTCATCGCAGGTTTATTTTGTTGTTGCTCTTTGGGTTGTTTGCTTTTTGCTTGGTTGGTTGGTTGCTTGGTTGGTTGATTGGTTGGTTTTTCAAGACAGAGTCTTTCTGTGTAGCCCTGGCTATCCTGGAACTCACTCTGTAGACCAGGCTAGCCTTGATCTCAGAGATCCTCCTGCCTCTGCCTCCTGAGGGCTGGAATGACAGGCATGCGCTCCCACGGTCCAATTTCATCACAAGATTTTAGAGGTCGAGTGTGGAAGTTGTTTCTCAGTGAATTAGAGCTCTTGGCAGGCTGGCATGAGGCTTGGGGTTAACTCCAAACACCAAAGATAAGTTCAAAAACTACTGAAAAACAAAACTCCAAAATTCATATTGAACTTTTTGATCCCTTAAACATTTATAGGAGCCTTGGAAAGAAAAGTGGGATTATTCTGAGTTATCAAACATCACATATTTTCCCTAAATTTTACAAAACTTGATTTAGCAACCATTTTCACAAGGACCCAGTGACTAGCATGTAGCAATAGTGAAATCATTAAGTGGAAATCAGAACCCAAGTCACTGGCAATAAACTTAACATTATTCTGTGGGTACCCATAAGCCAAAGCCTGCAGCTCAGTTCTGATCTGACTATGATGGCAAATGTCAGTCAATCTTGCCAATGTGATTTGTGTTTTTAGAAGGAAACTCATCTCAGCACAGCAATGAGCTCACATTCCTATGCTCTTCCTAGACTCCTCTAGCCCAAATGCGCACAGTATCAACGCACTCACATTCATATGCTGTCCCTAGATTCCTCTAGCTCAAACCCGCAGCATTTCAATGACTGTTGGATCTATGAATTCACTGGCACCCACACACCATTTTCGTTCCTGTGCTGAAGAAAATATCCATTGGTTTCTCTTACGCACTGATCTGGGCCCAGAAAGCCCAAACCGACGCTATCCCAGCAGACATGCCCAGTGGTTAATCTCTAGTTATACACTGAGTGAGAAAAATTTTAAATTTCGCATCTCTCCTATACTGTACCTTCAATTAATAGGCTTTAGCAATAGGCAAATATTAAAAGTGATAGATTTCAATTTCAACATGTAATAATTTATTACTGAAAACCAGTGGAAACAAAAATTTTCCTGTATCTTTGCACAGAACACCAACTGTGCTCTTCTGCCTTCTCATGCCAGAACAGGCATCAGCTGACGGTAGGATCCTGGGCCATTTTACCAACTCAGGGCATATGACAGTTTCATTGAACACGAAGTCTGGGGGGAAAAAATCTAATTACGGCGAAGGATCTGTCTTATCACTTATTACTGCCCATCATGAAGCTATGGCAAGGCGGGATCTACTTAAGGTGATGGTAAAACCAACACCCCAGTCTCAGGTCAGCGTGAAAGGCTGCTGATGCTTGGCAGTACATAAGCATGCCGTTAACCCTAATGTATTCACTCTGACGATACTGATACTCTTGGAATTCTTCTTGATAGTGGACACCTGAATGTGCAGGGGTTTTTTTTTTTAACCTGATTTCTTGTTTGCTAGACTGTCTTTGAGTCATCTTGCTACATCAAACACTGAAATAAATAATACATCCCCACATCGGTTTTCAAGTCCAAGACTAGGTCTCAACTATTCAACCATCACCCTGTTTCCTCTCACTGGGTCTTCTTTGATAAGATCAGTTGTTTTGATTTCAAAGCATGGCAATGTAAGAGCTAGGTCTAAAACTCAGTCAGTAGCATTTAAAGGATGTAAGCTAAGGGGCTGGAGAGATGGCTCAGAGGTTAAGAGCATTGCCTGCTCTTCCAAAGGTCCTGAGTTCAATTCCCAGCAACCACATGGTGCCCTCTTCTGGCCTGCAGGCATACATGCAGACAGAACATTGTATAAATAATAAATAAATAAAGATTTTTTTAAAAAAAGAGAAAATATCACTGTCAAAAAAAAAAAAAAGAATGTAAGCTAAATCTGAATTCTGGTTCCTCAATCATTAAGTCTGGAACTTGGGGCAAATGACTTAATGGCCTTATCCTTGGCAGGGGATAATGATACAGCGAAAATGTGGAGCATGTCCCTCGTGCAGTTATTGCAGTAAGCAAGTTAAAGCATGCAAATTGTAGAGTACAGCGGGTGCTTTAACTAGTGATAGCCAATGAGCGGAGAACTAGCAACCGGGTGGAGACAGGGAGCGATGGTGACCCTAGAGAGGCATGCAGTGGCATTTGGCAGTCCCTCAGAAAACAATCACTCCCGGGTACTCTAGTTGAGGCTGGCACCCTGCTCTCCAGGCTGCTCACACTGCCATCCCCGTGCTGGTGACGAAACCGTCATTCTAACAGAAACTTGTATCCTTTGCCGCGGATCCTGGCTTTGCTGCAACGTGACGGGCTAACCCGTCCCTCTTCAATTCTCTAGTTATATTCAACATTTAACGGCAGGAGACTTCAAAGAACACAGTCGGGTGGCACAAAGTACAAACACGTCACACACGTCCGAAGCACACAAGGACACCTGGCCAGTTTAAATGTGCACGTGCACATGTGTGAATTTGCACAACACAAAACAATTCAAGGTAAGGCAAAAAAAAAAAAAAAAAAAAACACCCTTGAGACAATTATATCTCAGGGATCTTAGAAATAAGAGACCACCCCAGTCTACTTAACAGTATATTCAATGAGAATCCATCTACATCGCTAGACTCATGAAGTCTTCCTTCTCTGTTTTGTCTGTGTTAGTGAGAGAAGATCGACACAATTAATTTGGAAACAATCATTTTCACACTAGACTCTGACGCTTGTCTCCCACATCCACAACAATAAAAGAATATGTTACACATGACACGCTCTACGGGCACACAACACTAGAGACTGCTTGAACGAGATTACACAGTGAGGTCACACATCTTCGTCTCCATTATCTTATGACTGTGAGCAGAACAGGTTTGAAACTGCGGCATGTAAGGTACGAAGGTCTTCTTAGCGGAAGTTCCTAAATTCAAGTTATTTTCTACAAAGTGTGAGCAACTCTCCTGGAGGATTCGGATGTCACTAAACAGACAGTGGGCTGGGAATGGGCACAATACTCCTGAATCGTCAGTCAAAAACATATCAGTCTCTCTTTTTTTGATGGAGGTGACCCCTAAATAATAGATAGACTTCTCACTCGGATCTTCTTCAGGGAAATTCCCTTCCAGTTCCAAAAGTTCATCCAACCCCGAGGATGAAACTGGTGGAGAAATCGTGTTGGGTTGCTGATCTGATAACAGGAAAAACGCCTGCGCCTCTATCTCCCAGGAGCTGCTAGGGAAAGATGCTCTCAGTGGGGAGTGTTCGCTGGAGATGCTCTTGCTGACAGAGCCATGTAGAAGCTCTTGCTCTTCCTCCGTTTCAACCGTTTTCGAGTGGCTGACGAGCGTTGCATATTTCACTGAAGATTGTCTCTGACACTCATCCTCACAAGTTACCTGGGTGCTTGGAGCCCCAGAGAAGGTGGCGCTGTTACACTGGTCACTAATACAAAGAGAACCTCTCTCAGGGTCTGGAGTGGTCAGAAGAAGCGAGACCATAGCTGCTGGTACCATCTCATCTTTATTTTTCCAAGCTGGATCGACGCTGATTTCTTCTGAAATGGGTTCGGGCTCCAGAAGAAGAGGACCAAATATCACTGACTCTGCATGCTTGGTGAAAAGATGCTCAAATGTTTCCGGCTAAAAGAAAAGACACATTTTAATGTTCAGTTTGTTACAACTTCATTCTTTCACACCTGCAGAAAGGCCAGCCTATAAGGTTAAAAACAAGGGATGCCAGCCAACTACAAATAACACAGTTTGGGGTTGAAAACTTGAAATATTAAAAACCAGAAGGGAGAGACAGTTTTGGCTTTCCAAAGTCAGACTTGTGGTTTTCAAATGGTACAATCATAAACACACAACTCACTCTTCAGTGGTAAAAATGAGCTGGATATTCCATTATGGCCATGGGCCACAAGTAAGTGAGCCATAGCTGCAAATGCTTCAGCCTCCATGGAGCCTGGGCACTGTGACTGGAGAATTCTCTCCTCAGAAAAAGCCGTTCTATGTTATAGTGGTCATCCTATTTTATAAGTGATTCTATCTGATAACAACTTCTACAAAATGACTTCTGAAAAAAGCCATTCTATGTTATAGCAAATTCCACAAAATTAAAATTTGATCTCTAGGCATGAAAACCAACCAACAAACAGAAAACCAGGTTGGAATACAACAGAAGGAGCGAAACAAGTTTTCTAGAGATAGTACCAACAACTGCTTCATACCGCAGGATACGATGCAGAGGGGGAGTAACTGACTCTCATACCTGCCTCTGGCCACACTGAGAATCTGCTTAAGGGTAGACAACCAATGGCACTTACTTGCTGAAGATGATGAAAGAGACACTGACAGACTTGAACACTGTTATTCCTTATACATAACTTCATGTAAAGATATATCCTATGGAACACATGGAATGAAGACAAACACGCAAGACAAATGTACAGCATGTTTTCTTTTTATAAGAACAAGGGTTACATAACAATGAAATCCTGTCAAGCAGCTACAAATCAAAAATCTGCATGCAAAAAGCTCAGTACAAACAATGTAAACTTAAAACATAGAATTCAAATAAAAATACTGCAAATATATCACACTGAATGGATAACACATCTAAGTAGAAAGTACGTTCAGTTCATAGATCATACGTGTGATTTAGCTTCTGAATGTTATAGTTTTTTAAGCTAATAAAATGAATTCTGAGTTATGGCCTGAGATAGCAGTATACTCAAATGTTCTTCACAATGGCAAGCATATCCCATATAAAAACACAGCAGTTGCAAACTCTTAGCTGAAATATATTAGTGATTAAACAGTAGAGGAATAAATATACTGAACACTAACTATTGTAATGGCATAGACCTATGTCAGTGTTAAAATACTGATTGACAAACACTGCTAAAAATGCTGTGAGTGAGAAGAAAATGGATCCTACTCCCACACTGTTTCTGACAGGAATCTGTACATTTGTGACTTCCTCCAAACATTCTAATTTTCCCCTTAATATTTCTACTACATATATTGCTGAATTTTTTAAAAAGTTTAAATGAGCTTGACATCCGATCCTTTCATTTTGCTTCTTTCTACCAATATGGAAAAATAGAAACAACATACAGCATGCAGTTGAGTTCATGTGTGTTTTTCAAATGATCTGTTCCATCTCCTCCATGGGGCCTAAACCTTCTTTTTTTAAAAAATATTTTTGATGGTTTATTTAACTTTATTTTATGTGCATTAGTGTGAAGGTGTCAGATCCCCTGCAACTGGATCTTCAGACAGTTGTGAGCTGCCATGTGGGTGCTGGGAATTGAACCCGGGTCCTCTGGAAGAGCAGTCAGTGCTCTTAACCACTGAGCCATTTCTCCAGCCCCGGGCCTAAACCTTCTTAATGTACAGCTAATTGTGGAACAAGTCATGGGCATCTTAAAAAGCATCCATGTAGAAAGTTTAAATAATAAATGCTTTTAAACAACACATTACTGAACTATATATTATCAATGGTCACAGAACTTCTTCAAAGTATGTTTGTTCAAAATTTATTTCACTCTGTGGATATAAGAATTGAAAAACAACCTTTCACAAGTTTGCAGCTAGACATTTATAGTACAATGATGTCTATTAATATTAAAGGAAGGAAAGGGGGTACAACCCTCCTAGTGTCTTAACTTTCTTTAGATTTCCAAATAAAATTACCAATCACATCTAAGTGACCCACATATCTTAAATTTGAATGTTATTTGTGTCCATCGATTTGGTTTAGTTTGAATGTAAGCAATAAAGTCTATACTATATATTAACAGATATGGCAAGACATCTGTTTTTCAGGGAGAAAAGCCCTGTCTTTACCAGGACCTATTTTTAAAATCCCAGAAAGTCTCCCGTTCTTGCACACCTCCCTGTCTGCCAGAAGTCTTCGGCTGATTCAGTGGAAATAAATTGATTCATGGAGGTTGTTACTCTCTTCTGCTCTGGGCAATTTGACCTGCGTGTGTAGGGTTATCCTGAAATGAAGGATAGCTTCCACTGGTCTATGTGGGGTTATCCTCATATGAAACACAGCTTCCATTAATGTGTGGTCTATGTGGGGTTATCCTCATATGAAACACAGCTTCCATTAATGTGTGGTCTATATGGGGTTATCCTCATATGAAACACAGCTTCCATTGGTGTGTGATCACCACAAGCCACAACTTCTGGCTTTCTTTAAACTAAAATAAGAGTTAGAACTTAAGTCATGTTCAAGACTATAGAAAACTAAAATTCCTAGATTATTCCAAGTTTGGTACACAAAAGCCATGTTATTCAGAAGAATCTGAAATTCATGAATTTATAAGTGTCCAAAAAAATCTAGTAGAGAAGCTTTCACACATAGAAATAGAAGCTAAATACCTTCCCTGTAGTGTGTGTGTGGGGGGGGGGCGGCCGGGGGCGGGGGGTCTTTGCAAAGCTGGATGTCAGAAGTTACCTGTTCGAGCTCCCTAGTTCCAGCAATCTTGACTACATTTCTACCACATTTGGAAACAGAATATGTTCCGACCACAACAGTCACACCATTAACATTTTATGACCAGAAAAATAAAAATTTGAAAGCAGAGACCATGATTATTAATATCAAACTTTAGGTGTTCTGATAATTAAGCATATACCCCAAATGAACTACATCAAACCCACATAGTGGCCACAAACGTACATGTCTCTATTAAGTTCATCATATGTTAGTTCTTAGTAATTCAAACAATAGTTTGGGTTTGTTTCCCTCTTTCAAAATGTAAACATCTTCTAATACTCTATGGACTGCTGGGAAGTTGGTACATTGGGTTCATCTGTGGTGGTCATGAGAGACTTCAAAGAATGTCCGTTCTCTGTTTAAATAAAATAGAACAAAATAAGAAAGCAAAATAAAATGGTCATGCAGAAAGCCAACGACAAAAGATTCCAACCCCTCTCTTTCCATGGACTCAGACACTATGTTCTTGTGTTGTGTTACAGTGATGTACATAGGAGAGGGGAGGGCCAGGGTCTTGGAGGGACTTCTCTCTCCTTACTGAATGCTAGGGATAGTCTAAAGACCAGGCCGATCACTCTAGCAGGGAAGACTATGGCAGCAGTAGCAGAATAGGTAAAAGAACAAGGACTCACAGAAGAAAGAGGATAAAATCAACAGTAACACTGAAGAGTGTGAGGGGTGGGAAAGGATAAGGGTTAAGTGATGAGAAGAAAAAAGTAAAAGGAAGACAATAGACTTTGTTCCCCGGGTGCTGATTTTTGGGAAATTAAAGTGATGTGATAGGCATGTGAGAAATGGACAAGAGGAAGAACAATCTTTCCTTTAAAAAAAAAAAAAGGTAGTTCAAAAAGTTTCTGTTTGAAGAAAAACTGAAAAAGTAAGTTTTTCTAAAGTTGCAGAGAACCCAGAAAGTCACAGAGCAGTGCACAGATGGGCAAACCTGTCAATGCCCGTGAATCCCTGACAGCATCCTCAAGCTGCTCTAGGAGAAGACAGAATTTAGGGACAGAAAAGTGGCCTGCTGAGATTAAAGGCAACACAGTTGAAAGTCTTGGCGACTCGGGGAGGAGAGAGGCAGGAGACTACAGTGTCAATAGTCTATCCTAAGCTACACACTTGTATTCCTCTCCAGCTCTTCAAAGGGCAGACAGAAGGGCCAGGGCATGCACCCGAACAAACACTGGCAGCCAGGCTTCCTGCCAGCAGGGGTGGTGGGCGGCTCAAAACAGAGAAAGGTGGAAAATGATGAGCTGCCCCTTGGAAAAGAGGAGGGGGGTTCACTAGGCTGAGTTCACAGACTGGAGACACCACCAGACCAATGGTGAGCTGGGATACTTGCCAGGAAAGCTGCAGACATGACATGCAACCAGCCCAAGAGAGAGAAGCAGGCTGCAGTCAATGCAGCTGGAAGGAGGCGAAGATCTGAAGAGCCCTTTGACATCAGCCATGGAGATGCAGAATCTGGAGTTTGCCCTGATGGGTTTCAGTCTTTGGTCCAACATTTCCTCAACATGCTACCTTTCTTCCCTTCTGGAATGGTAATATAGAGTCTGTGCCATTGTATGTTGGAAACATGTGATTGGCTTTTTGGTTTTGGTTTTTACAGGTTTTACAGCTAAAGGATTTTCCTTGAGTCTCAGAAAAGACATGGACTTTGGACTCTGAACCGGTGTAGAGACTATGAAAAACTCTGGGAACTTTTGAGTTGGCCTGAAAGCAGCTTTCAGTATGACACAGCTGCAAGCCTAGAGGGGCCAGGGACGCTGAATGAAAATTGCCCCCACTGGCTCATCTATTTGCATGCTAACCTTGTTGAAGTAAGTGTGGTCTTGTTAGAGGAGGTGTGCCCCTGGGGGTGGGCTCTGAGGTTTCAAGAGCCAACCCCCGGCCCAATGTCTCTCTGTCTTTCATCTTGGTTCAGGATGTAAAGCTCTGGGCTACATCTCCAGCACCATGCCTTCCTGTGTCCTGCCGCATTCTGCACCATGATGATAATAGACTAATTTCTAAAGCTGTAAGCAAGCCTTCAGAGTTGAATGAATTCTTTTATTTTTTTTTTAAATTTTTTCCCTTTTTCCTTTAAATTTATTATAATATACAATATTCTGTCTGCATGTATGCCTGCAGGCCAGAAGAGGGCACCAGATCTCATTACAGATGGTTGTCAGCCACCATGTGATTGCTGGGAATTGAACTCACGACCTATGGAAGAGCAGGCAATGTTCTTAACCTCTGAGCCATCTCTGCAGCCCTGAATGGTTTCTTTTAAAAGAGTTGCCTTGGTCAAAGTGTCTCTTCACAGCAATAGAACACTGACTAAGACAGTATTGCTTTTGATGTAATATAAGCGAAAGAAATGAAAATGTTAAAAGAGGAGAAAATTAATTTTAGAGAAAAGTTAGAAATGAGCTTAGATGTTTGGGTCTTATAGGTATAGGGCACATTCATAAAAAGTAATGCTCCTCCAAATCAGGATTTGAAAAATAAAGGAAATTTATAGATTTAAAATATATTACTTAAAAAAACTACTGAATCAGGCTGGGCGGTGGTGGCACACACCTTTAATCCCAGCACTCGGGAGGCAGAGACAGCCAGATCTCTCTGAATTCAAAGTCAGCCTAGTCTACAGAGCTAGTTTCAGGACAGCCAGGGTTGTTACACAGAGAATCCCTGTCTTGAAAAACCAAAAAAAGAAAAAGAAAAAACTACTGAATCTGAATTGGTTTTTAAAAACATTGGGTTTCTATTGGCTGTTTCCTTTGCAGTATGCCCTGGGATATATATTTGCCTATCTATTCCTTTGTCTTGCAATAAATATGCCATATTTTGATGATTCATTTATTATTTGAAGGTCATTTGGATTTTTATTCAAATTCAGGTTATTATTGACAATTCTTTTATGAATTTTCATAAATACATATTCGTGCAAAAGTTTCTTCATTCTTTTGGTAGAAATGTTAGGGTAGATGGCTGAGTGCTGGTTTCAGATGGAAAGACCTGCCAGACTCTTCAAAGCCTGCACTGTCTTTATATTCCTAAGGGGCAGTCAGAAAACTTCAGTGTCCCTACTGACTAGTATTTCTGTCTTTTCTGTGATGGACATCCCACAAGCTGTGGAGGGTACCTTGTGGATTTAACTTGCATTTTTCTGATATTTAAAGATGTTGACTATGTGTTCACTTGTAAATATAAAGGAGATTTTGTCTTTTACATATATGGTCTCTAGAAAAATCAGATCCTGGACCTAAAGGTTTTTTTTTTGTTGTGTTAAAATAAATGTAACATCCAATCGACCATCTCATTTATCTTTGAGTGTGTCATTTAGTGAGTATTAACCACACTAGGGGACACAATGGTAATATGAAATTGATGGCAAGAATTATCACTTTGTCAGAGGGACTTGGGTGTGAATCCAGGTTTTAATAAGACCCGGTTGGGTATGTAGTCAGGGCAAGCTACCAACCCACCCTCAACCTATCTTGTCATTGATTCTTTTTTTTTTTTTAATTTATTTATTATGTTCTGTCTGCATGCGTGCCTGCAGGCCAGAAGAGGGCACCAGATCTCATTGCAGATGTTTGTGAGCCACCATGTGGTTGCTGGGAATTGAACTGAGAACCTCTGGAAGAGCAGTCAGTGTTCTTAACCTCTAAGCCATCTCTCTAGCCCCTTGTCATTGATTCTTAATGGTGTATCTTTGCTACACCCTAAAAATACATAAACACTACATATACTGAAAAAGAGAAAGTGAAATACTTGCAAAGGTAAAGAGAAATCTCTCACAAATGGGGATATTCATAACCCTCTGTCTTTTAAAAATAATTTACACATTATGGACTGGAGAGCTGACTCAGCAGTTAGCAGCGCTTCCAGATCTTCCAGAGAACCTGAGTTTCTTTCCCAGAACCCAGGTCAGGTAGCTTCTGTCATTTCCCACTCTGGGGCCTCTGGTGCCCTCTTCAGGCATCTGTGTATACCTGCACACACACACACACACACACACACACACACACACACACACACACACATAAATAAAATCTTTTTTAAAATTCACTCCAATTTCCAAGACTCTGGAAGTTTAGGGTGGTCTTTCAATTTACTTAAAATCTCTGCCAGATGCTCTGCCAAATCCAGCATCATCCTCAGCTCCAAGAGGGGCAAGTGAGACACCAGGTAAGCCAGAGACTAAAGATGACCACTGATTGACCCGACCTAGGTCCTTTCATTTCTGCCAGGCATTTGGAAAGGAGGGCCACACCCTGTCTTGAGTAGAAGTTAGATTTCCTTTCCACAAAAATATGAAGATAAAATGCCGAACATGCCATGCTGGACGGGGGGAGGACTTTAGCTTCCTTTAGAGGCAGCACAATGACTGCCTTGAAGCTTTACGGTTTTTATTTAGATAAGCATTTGGTTGTTTTAACTTAGAAAAGAAAACTTTGTTTGTAAGAGGAAAATGTGCCTAGTCTGTTCTCTGTGTTTCCAGTTTGAGAATGCATCACCGGTTGACTGTGAGAGTATCTACACTAACATCATGGAGTCAGGTAACGACTCTCCATCATCCGGGACTGACTGAAATACCATTCCTCTTCCTTTTTTTAATCTTTCTTCTTTCTCTTATGCTTGTTTGTTTCTATGTAACCTAGGCAGGCCTCAAAATCACTATGCAGCCCTGGAACTCACAACCCCCCCCCCCTTCTGCTTTCCAAAACCTTGGATATGTATTCCAGGTGTGCACCTTCACAACCAGATCAAACGTCAATCTCTTAATCATGCCCACTCATACCCATCCATGCTCCAAGACAGGTTTCCACATCCTAGCCCTCAGCACACTGGAGCTTAGACCTGCGAAGTGATTTCTAATGATGACCTGGTAAGTGTTTATCGTCCCCCACCAGACTGTACAATCCAGGAACATACAGAGGGTTTCTTACCAATATAGCCCCAAGGTATAGCAAAAGTGATTGGCAAAGGACAGGTCTTCAGTAAAATTACAAACTGAGAAAATGAATACATGGGAAGTGAAAAATGAACAAGTGTCACAGAAGCCAAAAGAGAAGTTCTGATTCCTTCCACCTAGCCACTCTTCGTGGACTCTGCTCTTGGAAGACAAGGAGGATGTCTTAAAAGCCTGCTCTCGAGTTTCGCGGCAATCTCTCCTTATCATCTGTAAACACTCGCTCTGTGCCCATTGCACACGTCCATGGATGATGCGCGTGTGCATCCGAGATGCCACCACGATTATGAGAAATGCGATCGCATGAATCAGTTGTGGAAGAAAAAGAAGAGTGGTATTTTGTGAGTTGAAAACAACTCAGGAGCACTCCTGAAATAAAAGGAGCCCCGGGTGAGAGGCTGGGAGGGCACAGCGGGGGAGTCAGAGGCAGAAGAAGCTAGCATTGGAGAAAGCAAAAGATGCCACAGAGCGCATGCTTATATGCAAAACCGCACAGCTGCCGCTTCTGAAAACAGGCTGTTAGTTCATCTGATGGGAGACTCTGACTCAAGCAGCTGAGCGGCTTGTGGTGTGTGCACCGGGACCTGCTTCTCATGGGCTAGTTGCAATGCTGTATCCTGTTATCTGCAAGTCACGTGCCATTTGAAGGCTGGGGATCAGGTTAGTGGGTTGCTGATAGCATTTTTTTAAAAATGAAAGAGTTAAAACCGTTTTTTCTCTTTTCTCTTCCCAGCAAGATGTTTTCTACAAAATTTCTCTCATTTTTTTCCATGCCTATATATCTGTGCTAGGCTGGAAGAGAAAACATATTTCTCCCCATGGGTCGTGTCAATATCTAGAATAGCTACAATTAGAATAAATTATAATTGGGGAAGCTAATCCTGGGTCTAGAATAAGACACCTCACCAGTATAAGCTTTTGTTTTTCTCTCCTACATTCGATGACAGAATACCCCAGGGGTAACTCAAAGTCTATCATGTATAAATATGTAAATAGTAGCATAAAACAATAACTGATACTTATTAAGACCTTTAAATGCTGCAAGTATTGAAAATCTTTCAACTACAAATCTCCATCACTGAGTTTTATTTATACTGCATCCTTCCGATTGCAGCATCTGAAAATAACACGTACTTGTAAGTAATTGTGACAATTAAGTGGTAGAAACATAATATCGATTCTGAGCTTTTTGCCTAAAGACAGCTCATTTGTACTGAAAAAAAAAAGTCAGTCAACTATCTATTCTCCGTCTACGATGATCCTTTCCATTGTAGTATTTATTCCTTAGTTCACCATGACCAGAAAAGAAGATAGGTGTGTTGTCCGCTCTCATGGGATGAAGGCTGAATTTTGTCTCCTCTGACCAAAGCCTTACACCCGGCTATTACTAAGGACAAATGATGAACAGACTCGTCAAAATGAATTGGACAAAGCAAAGCCTTCTAAGCCTTAAAGATATGGAAAGATCTGGAAGTTCTATCTAAAATGCAACCTGAAAATATTCTGGGTTAAAATACATAAACAGTGACCTTTTGGAAATTAAGTCCTTGTGCCCAGGAACAATTCTTGGGGTTTGGAACGTCTTCCCAAAACAGCTTTTTCATTCTGTAAAGGAGAGATGAAGCCCTGTGGTTAGAAACACACTCAAAATGAAAAGGCATTAACAGCTAGCGAGCACACAGTACCAGCATGAGTGGGCTGGATCGCCTCTCTAGGGCCGGACCCGTGTTTACATTTGATCCCGCAAAGTGATCTCACTGAATGTCTGTGAAGAAATTAATAACCAACCCTTTCTTACTGAAAGCTGTGTGCCAGGCAGATTTTCCTTAGAAGACATTTTAAATGGCCATCGGTCACCTGGGCACACTTTTAGGGTGCCACCCCTGTCCTTCAACTGAAGCGTGATACCAGATTGTAATGTCTTCCCTCCATTTGATGGAGGATTAAAGCTCCTATTGATCTGACATGAGTGAGAAAACCTCGTGAGCTGGGTGTTTCAGCAAGTGGTTTGGCTCCCACAGAGCCACCAGGGAACTCGCGGCCATTTGTCAAACCAGATACCTGGGAGCTTTCTGTCCTCTGGGGGGCAGAGTGCTGCCTGCTGCCATGATGAACTGCTTCTGGTCACCATGCAACAGCTACTTGTAAGGTCTTGAGATCTCCCTAAAATCTTCAGTTCAGATTGCAGAACCCTAAAAGCCATTTTTACCAAACCTAAGAATATACTGTCCAGGGTTTCTTGTTACATGTCAACTGATTACTGGATGTATATAAAGAAAAACTGTTTCAGCTCGGTGGTGGTGGCGGCGCAAGCCTTTAATCCCAGCACTCGGGAGGCGGAGTCAAGCGGATCTCTGTGAGTTTGAGGCCAGCCTGGTCTATGAGAGCTAGTTCCAGGACAGGCTCCAAAGCTACAGAGAAACCCTGGCTAAGAAAGAAAGAAAGAAAGAAAGAAAGAGGGCTGGAGAGATGGCTCAGTGGTTAAGAGCATTGCCTGCTCTTCCAAAGGTCCTGAGTTCAATTCCCAGCAACTACATGGTGGCTCACAACCATCTGTAATGAGGTCTGGTGCCCTCTTCTGGCCTGCAGACATACACGCAGACAGAATATGTATACATAATAAATAAATTTAAAAAAAAAAAAGGAAGGAAGGAAGGGAAAAGCTGAATTTTAAAGCTGAATTTTAAAGCTGAATTCTGCCTTCAAGTTTTTGTCGCCCTATTAAGATGAAAAATCATTTGCTGAAAACAACCTCTCCTTTTGCGTCATGTACATATACATATAAATACATATAAAGACATTTTCAATACTCTTATGCTAGTTAATACTGTGAGTTAGGCTTTATGTCAAATTTTGAATACGCTTAAGCTACATTCTTTATGGCAAAAGTGCTTAGCACCCAGTGCGATACCTCTGGTGTGAGATTAACAGTGTTCCGAGAAGCAGGACACAAGAGGAAATAATTATGGGCACAATCACATAGAGCCCCGCGTCGCTCTGCTGCTTGTCCACACCATCTGAAAGACAGACACAAGTCAAACCGTCAGTCGCTTCAGGAGACTGTTCTGCAAAACCATCCTCAGAACACGTATTCCAATTTCTGCACTACCTCCAAACGTACAGAAACTTATAAAAGAAGGAATTAGGAGCTGTAGAGATGGCTCAGGGGATAAGAGCACTGGCTGCTCTTGGAGAGGGCCGGGGTTCGTTTCCCAGCACCCACACAGCAGCTCACCACTGCCTATCACTTTAGTTCCAGGATAGCTGATATCTGATTCCCTCTCTGGCCTCTGAGGGTATTAGGAATGCATTTGGTCCAGGCAAATACCATACATGTAAAAATTAAAATAAGTAAGTATTTTTAAAGGAGAAATAAAAATGCATTATGGCCACCTTAATAGTTGCTTTGACTAGTAATCATACTGGAAATTTAGCATTATTTGCCTGTACTTGCCAGGCCGCTCCTTCTAATCTTTGTTTAAACTCTATGAGTCAGAGCACCAACTAAAGTTGCTGTGAGGAACTCACTGTCTATTCCTGCAGACCGTGTTGGCGGCACCCACCAATCCTTATCCTCGTAGCTCTGACACACCGGTGTCTTGTAGCTTAAGGCCTCAGTGCCTTTACAAGAGCCTTCTGGCCTGATGATCTTGCTGCTGCTTTAGCTACCATATTCACTCCTCAGGGCGTGACACGTGACACCCCAGCTTGCCCTCCATTCTCAGATGTTCCAGGGGAGACACGTGGCACCCCAGCTTGCAATGCTCTTCCCTTCCATTCTGAGAGCTTTCCTCAAGGACCAGAACCCACAGAAAGAGCATCTAGCCATCCTTTCCTCCCCACGTGCTAACTCTCTGTCTTCATCTCACTTGCATTTGCCCCCAAGGCATTGCCTTCCACCGGGCTCTGTGTCTTCAATAATGTATTCACTGACCATTACCGCCTGTACAGCATTGAGACCCAAGTCCCAAAGGCAGGCTTACGGTCACCACTTTGTCCTCGGTCCTTAGAACAATGTCCAACACGTACTTGTTGAACAATAAATAATTATTATTGTAGAAGCACTTAAAATGCTTCTCTTTAGAAACTGTATTATGGGGCTGCTTTGATTTAACAACTTAAAAAGGAATAAGAAGTTTAAAATATAGGTGAGTGCAGCAATCCAAACAGAATGTGTCCAGTGAATCTAACTAGCCAGTTTCAGGTAAAAAAAAAAAAAAAAAAAAAAAAAATTTTTTTTTTTTCCTTGAACAACCCAATGACACATCTAGGTAAAACTCTCAGCTCTTCCCTGACCCTATGAGGAAGAAATTAATCCAGAAAGAGAATAAATACTGAGATACAAAACACATAGAGAAAGGAAAGTAGGGCTGGGGAGACGCCCCAACAGAGAAAGCATTTACCGTGCAAGTCTGATGACCTGAATCTGGAGTAGAAGGAGAGGGGTCCCAGGGTTATTCCCGAGCCTCCACTTGGATGTGGGCCACAGGTACACAACATCAATATTAGCGCATGTGTCGCACACAAATACTTTTCTTTTTAGAAAGAAAATAACATTTTTCTTTTACCTTGGGTGAAACCATTAATTATCTTTGGTTTTCCAACTCCTTCCATAAATACTGGGTAAAGACTAAACTGATATTTCTCAATGGGAATAAAGTTATCTGAAAAGAAAAAAAAACAATAAGAGTTCGTGTTAACTAAGAATGAAACCTACATAGAAAAATACAGACTGAGCTGTCCCAGGCTGCTCATTATTTCAGGACAGCTTGAAGGCTAAAGGATTTCAGAAATAAGCTAAGCGCTCCAGAATTTGCTAGCAATGATATTTACTTTCAAATATGTTTTCAAAACTCCTCCTCACGATTGTCACCCAGATGCATATGCCGCCTCTTTGGAACCTATTCCCTATGGTGGGATGCCTTGTTCAGCCTTGATGCAGGGGGAGGAGCTTGGTCCTGCCTCTGCTTGATGTAACAAGTTTTGTTGATTCCCACAGGAGGCTTGACCCCATCTAAATGGAGATGATGGAGGAGAGCATGCGGGTGGTAGGGGGAAGTGGGGGGAGGAGAGAGAGGGAAAACTGGTTGGTATGTAAAAGAAATTTTTAAAATGATGGAAAAAAAATAAACAAAACCTCTTCCTCAGACACATATGACTCGTTTTTCAAGGGCATGCTCTGGTGAGAGCAGAGTTTGTTCAAGTTCAAGGCATTTTCTCTCTTTTGCTCCTGAATTTCCTGCTCCAGGACAGTGTGTTCTCCCTTCTCCTACCATCCTCGGGGTCTCTTGTACTATCTGGGGTCTCAATAACGTGGAGAACGATGATCCCCACAGCAATGTAGGAGACAGATGTGACAAGGGTTCTCACAGATGCTAACGACACATGACCAGCAGCCCATAAGAGGCAGAGCCCCGAGAAGCCTGCATTCCTCATCCCTCTCCATGACAGGATAGAGCAAACCACCCACGGCAGGCATAAGAAATTTGGTCCCTTGCTTAGAATTTATAATAATTGTTGGGAATGAATGAGAAAAAGTGGGTCTTCTAGATGGCATAAAACCAGGGGTGCTATCCTGTACACTTACCTCTCAGGGTAACTGGTCATTCTTGGCGGGATTACACTGACCTAGGTCAGCTGGTCCAAAATCCTCGGACTTCCAGCCTAGCCCCTCTACTCACTGCTTAGTGACATTCTGATTGGGTACTGAGTTGGGGGTGCGTGGCGTTAGAGCTTAGAAGACATTAAGAAGGAAGATGGAAGCAACATGAACTCAACTAAATAAATACCTTAGGTACACTTTAGAATAAAAGGCTATACGATCGTCACATATTCTGACAGAAAGGGTTGGGGAGAAGGTTTGGGACATCTGATTGCATCTGTGTAAAACATAAAAGAAAAACGCTCACAGAAATACAGCAAACATTCTGACCAGGCAACACGACTATAATTCAGTTGGCAGCCCTTGGCGTCTGCATTTTGAGATTGTCATTAACCCTTTTATTGTCTAAATTCCCAATCTGTGGTGTCATCCTAACCCAAGAAAAGTCCTGTGAACATACCGTGGATGTAATACTTCCTAACATTCGAAGGGATCCTAAGCCATTTCATTCCATCGTCTTCATTAAGATTCTTCCATTCAATAACCAGGTATATGAGGTTGTAATCCCCAGGTGACAGAGTCCAGGAAAGGATCACACAGTTGCTGCTCAGGGGGTAAGCACTGAGTGACTGCACAGCACTCACTGAGGGGAAGAGGAGGAAATTATTTTAAATTCAAGATTAATAAAAATGTACTAAGTGCCTTGAGGAATAACCCAGAAGAAGGGAGAAGGAAGAGGAGGCAGACAGTTGATACAAATGAATTGGAGCTCATGCAAGCAGAGGGCAGGAGTTTATGACGTGGAGAACCAGAATGATTCTACCTCAGATCTAAAAACAGACTTCTGGTAGGGTCAAAATTGTTCTCAGCTGGAGTCACACACAAGCCTATTAATCAAACTGTCCGATTCCCACACAGTTCTCTCTCCCACTGGTGAGTGACATTTCCAAAGCTGCCCTCAGCAGAGTCCCTTCAGGAAGCCTTGGTGGATTTCCACACCTGAGGAGGCCGTTCCTCTCATGCCTACATGGTCCCACAGGCCATGCATGTCTCAAGCCTCTTTCTGCTGTGTCTGTTTCTCCATGCAGCAGCCACCCTGGTCTTCATTCAGCATCTCCCCTGAGCTGCGAAAACCTGACCAGGTGCGCAGCTACTGGAAGCTAAGGGGCTTCCCCATCCCAAACTTGGGGGGGGGGTTGGTTCCTAATCCATATCGCTTCCTCAAGATGGCTTCTCTACCCTCAACCCAAGATCAAGTTCCTGTTTACTTTCTTTAAAAAAAAAATAATAATATTCCTGGTCAGACATGGAGGCATGTGCCTTCAATTCCAGCATTGAGGGGTAGAGAGAAAAGCAGATCTCTCTGAGTTCAAGACTAGACTGGTCTATCTGGTGAGTTCCAGGTCAGTCAGAGCCACATGAGGCCCTGTCTCAATCTCCACATAGAAGTGGAAGGTGAAATCAGCTCCACCAAGCTGTCCTCTGACCTACACACACATGTTGTAGCATGTGTGCCCATAAACACACATTACACATGCAACTCTCACAAGGATACAAACACGCTAATGCATTCTTAGTTAAAGATGATAAAGCATCTTTAACGTTTAGAAAGTGCTCTGAATTTTAAAGAGGGTATAGGGCACATTCCAACAACAGTCAAAAATTTTATGAAGCACCTCTTGGAAAGGTTAGCGGGGGGGGGGGGTAGAGACAGCAGAAATCAGTGTCTTTCTATTTAAAATAGTATCTTTGATGGCAAATACAGACTAGAAGCTCCTGTTGAGAGTGACTCTTAGGCCAGCAAGGTGGCCCTGCAGGTAAAGGCACCGGTCACCAAGCCTGACAACCAAATTAGATCCCTGGAACATGCATGATAGAAAGAGAGAACCAATTCCCACAAAGTGTCCTCTGACCTCCATACATACTCTGGCATGTGCATCCCCCAAAAATTAATTAACTGTAAAATATATTTTATAAAAGAAAGCATCAATGCTTAGAATGATCAAATATACCAACATTGATTAAAAGGTGAGGCATTCCCTACTCACACAAAATAAAGCCCACAACAGTTTCTAACTCTCAGCAACTGATTTGAGTCCATATAGCGTGTCATGCTATTACTAAAATAGATAGCATTTTATATAAAATAAAATACTGTATACTATATGTAAATATATACTATGGTATATGTAATATGTATTAATTGAATACTATATATAATAAAATATTAATATTATATATAAAGTGTTCTATATTCTAATTTCTAAACAGAGGTAGTGACTCACCTCCACTGCTTCAAAAGGGTTAAGTTATTAGATTTACTAGACTATTCTGTTGCAAATGATCATAATTGGGTAGCAATGTATTTTTCACACAGAGAGTAAGTATGAAAATATCCTGGATTGCTCAGAGGTGATTTAAACAAGAAGGGCTATGCACAGGTTCCATATTGAAAGGGGGTGCCCAAGCCCAACTCATACACTACAGTGCAACCTCCACACCTGAAGCCCAGGGAACCTCATAGAAGAGGGAAGGGACAGACTGGAGGAGCCAGAGGCTCAGAATATCTGCTGTTGGATAGTGTCCTCTAGACAGTGATACATAGTATCACTGCTGAACACAAGCAGCTGTAATGACAACACCAGCCGACATGCCAGTGTGGACAGGGAAATTCACATGGTCCCAATGAGGGCTCTCTAACAGGCCCAAGGATGGCAAACATGGCTCTGGCAGGTCTTGCCCATCCACCTTTCCTCTCCCTTGCTAAACCATTAGATTTCATTCATAAAGCTAGCCACCAAGGTCTATTCCCTTATTTGGCCCCTCTCTTATGCCTGATCAAAACTCTAAGGTGCAGTTATCAAAACACCAAGGTCCAGCCATCAAGATTTATTATTTGGCTACACTAGCTAACATGTCCAATTGGGACTTAGCAATTCATCCTACCACAGACTTCCCCGTTCTCTCCTTAAAAAACACTACTGTAGAGCCACCTGTTGCTGTCTTTGTCCGATCCAGAGGCAGCCACCCCCAGCTCTCACCCCCCCGCTTATCCCTCTGGGGTAATGAATCTCCTTTGTGCTGAGAACTTGGTATCCAGGTGTGTTCTGTGCTGACTCTGAGGCCTCCTAGACCCACCCCTAGGGGAAGAGCTACAGGTGAAGAGCGTATGCTCAGAGAGGAAGAACCAGTCTCCTCCATGGAGGAGTTCCTGCACAGGTTGACTAATCCCAAGTGACTAATCACAGGTACGTATGAGCAAAGCTAAACAGACATAGTAAGTTAGACATATGTGTGTATATAATATTTAAGTAATAAAGAAGAGATCATGAATTTTAGAGGGGGCACATGGGGGAATTGGATGGGGGAGAGGGAGGATCAAGAGTGATGGAGATGCAGTGCTGTACAAAAAGTCATGTGAGCAGGCTACATCATAATTTAGTAGTGGGGCTAGAATGATGATGATGATGATGATGATGATGATGCTGGGATTCTGTGTGAAGCACCATAAAAACAAACAAACAAACAAACAAACAAACAGGGCAATCAAGTGCTTCTCAGCATCTCTTACCTTTACTCATCGGCCATGAAAACGTTAGATTAAAATTTGCGAGCGAAGCACCGATGGAATTGACGGCCAGAACAGTAACCGTATGCGCTTGTTCTGCCCACAGGAAGGTGAGATTGGTCTGATCTCCTGCGTCTTCTGACCACGTCCCATTGTGGGCAGTCCGATGCTGGACCACGTACCTCCTCACACTGCACAGGGAGTCGTTTTTCATCAGGGGCTGGAGTAAACACAAACCACAGCGTTTACACCAACTGAGCTCACAGAATTCAGCTTATAAGTTAGACCAAGGTAGGCACTGCTCAATCTAGTGCTAAGGGATCAGGGTGGAGTAGGGGTGGAAACTCTGTGCAATTCAGTAGGCATGGGCAGCACAGGGAAGCTATTTCCCCCCTCTGATGTTTTTCTTCACACCCAGAGACTAAATTAAAGACAGTGAAGTAAGAAGAGAGTTAGGACATTCGAAATATGAAGAATACATCGGAAATACTAAGAATCTCCACTCTAATTGTAGAAGTTTACTCGTCTAATAGCAAGCAAAGGAACTGCTCAGGTTCTGGGAAGAACCAAGAAGGCTCAGTTGGTTATCAACACTTTGTGAGCCCGAGTAAATCTGCCACTGTTCTCCATGGGATGTGCTTGAAAGATTATCTAGAGCAAAGAAAACAAAAACCTTGAAGGTTACCAAATAACAAAGGCTATCTGGGCAGTCTGTGTGGCCCTGGACATTTCTGTCCCATAGCTTTCCACAGAATATTATACTGTGTCGTGGAAGATTCCTGTGTAAAAAAACATTCCAGCTCCGTGTTCTTTCCTTCTGAAGAGTCCAAGAATACCCTTCACTCCCCAAACAATCACCTTCACTTATTGCAGGGAACATTGAAAGTTGCCAATCCCTTAGAAAGCTAAGAAGAGCTGAATTTTATACCACATACTAGAGCAAGTGTCTCCAAGTGAAAAATGACAGAGATGCACTCACACAGATGCATGGATTCTGCAGTGGGTGGAACCTCGTGGGTAGCTAGGTGGAAGTAAGATGTGAGAAAAAGTCTGAAGGAAATACCAGCTTTATTTTATGTGAAAAATCCATGTCATTTTGATATGACATTTTGATATTTTTCAATCATAAGTAAAAATATCAAAGATATTAAAAGATGTTTTTGGCTTACCCGTATGTTTACCACCCAGCCCTAAAATGAGCAGTCCTCTCAAGTCCTCATTACCTTGACTGAATAATACTGTTAGAAACACTCCCTCCTCTTGAAAGGCTCTCCTAGCTTACAAAATCAAGGATATATGCAGGTATACTGGCCTCTGTACACACACACACACACACACACACACACACACACACATACATACATATTTCTATAAGAACCCACCTATGCTTAACATAAGCTTGTATTGATCTATAACTCCAATCTGTGACTGCAAGAATCACTCTGGCTGACTCTCTTGCTAGTCTGGGTCCTCCTGGGAGAGCAGTGAAAAACATGTGCTGTGCCCCATTCATCTTAATTTTTCCATTCCAAGACAGACAGACAGACAGGGATGTAATAACTGCTAGCCTACATCCCTGAAAAAGAAGTGCATAGCTCCAAAGTGTTTATGCAGTGCCTTCCATCTTTCACACTTCCCACTAATTTCCAAAATCAATCAAGACTTTTCCCTTGCCACCGGCAGGAAGGTAATTTCATACACGTGTGACAGTCGTAACTAATCTGTATTTCATCCCCAAATCCTCCAGTCTATGATTTTTTTAAAAAAAATCTGTATACTTTAAGGTTTATTCTTTGCCCTGTGAAGTTTCAGGTTTGTGCAAATGTATAGTGTTATGTGCCTACCATTTCATTTTCTACTGAAGAGTCTCATCTTGGAATAATGAATATAAATACAGCAGATAAAATAACTCATGTGTAAGTTTTCATGTAGAGGAAGTCTTCAAGTAACCCAGGTAATCATCTATGAACACAATGGTCCATCAAGGCTACACTTAACTTGCAAAGTGGCTGCGCAGGTGTGCATTGCCACAAGAAGCCAACCAAGTTTCTTGATGCTCCGTATTCTCAATCAGCAATTTGAACATCTTTAAAAAGCAATTAGCCATTCTAATAGATGTGGACTCATACCTCACTATGGTGACTCTCTCCCTACAGTGGCTCCCTCCCTATGGGTGACTCTCTCCCTAGGCAACTTTCTCCTTATGGTGATTCTCTCTCTACAGTTATTCTCTCCCTACCGTGACTCCCTCCCTTTTAAGTCTAAGTTAATTTAATTAAGTAAAAGTGAAAATTTAGGTTTTGCACCACACTGTATACAACTCAAGCCACAAACCTACAGGTAGCTGTCATGAGGACAATGTACATACAAACTGTTCTTGCCATTATAGGAAGTTCTACCATGCAACATCACAGAGGAAACATGGGAGCCAGGCATAAGGAAGGCATGGGAATGATCTAGAAAGAAAAGCCATTTTTCTGTTCAAGAGCATGATAGAGTATGAGGAAGGAGAGGGGGTAACTGCAGCCTGGGCCACAGGGCAGTTGTTACAACTATGAGGAGATAAAGAACAGTTACTTATTTTGTTCATTGCTGACTCAACTAATGCCTGAGCAATGTCACTGTCAGTCCCTCTCAGTGTCAATTCTTATTTTTTTTAAAGACTTATTTATTTATTACATACAGTGTTCTGCCTGCATGTATGCCTGCATGCCAGAAGAGGGCACCAGATCTCATTACAGATGGCTGTGAGCCACCATGTGGTTGCTAGGAATTGAACTCGGGACCTTTGGAAGAGCAGACAATGCTCTTAACAGCTGAGCCATCTCTCCAGCCCTCAGTGTCAATTCTTAATGTTACTTTCAAGCAAAAAATATTGAAATGGAAGACTATTTAGAATTGCATTACCATGTAAACAAAAGTATATAGTAACTGGAATTATAAACAAAGTGTACACAAATTCTTACATACCCCAATTTTTATATAGGGTTAGTCTTAGATCAGGTAACCATTTTTAGACATACATTAACTTTCTTCCACTTGAGAACTGAAATTAATTTCACATTTACATAGTAAACATAACATTACCTACCTCGTGCATTTTATTCCTAAACTTAAGCTTGATATCTATTCCTGAAATTAATTATTTGGGATCAAAATCAACTCTTTAGGAGAATGGATGTTTGGCATTTCCAAGTTGATCATCCATCATTATAGAAAACATTCATCCTTTGCCATCACATAGGTGAAATATTCTCTTATATCTTACGTGCTTAAACATTGAAAGGGAAGCCATGGTTACACTGTTCAGGAATCAAACTGCGGACTTAAAGCAACACTAATTATCATTTAGTAATCTTACCCTGATACAGATGACAAATATGAAGCCCAAAGAGCCCAAAGCATCACCAAAAGAGCAATGAGACAACCATAATTGACCTGAGACAATAATAAAGGCCCCTGACCACGTCAAAACTCCAGATACTTAGCTCTGAGCAACCACATCTCAGAGATGCATTAAAACGTAAGATTTGGGGCCACTTGTGAGATTAGCAATATGACAGGGTTATAAACAAAGAATAGACAAACAACTGCAGAATAAAACAAAAGACAGAAATTAGATATACCTTCCAAAGCAAGGTGACATTTCTCTCTCTTTTAGTAACATCCCCATCCATTATTCTCCAGAATTCAGGTCCTCTCATAGGAACTGCAAAACAGCAGGGAGCCCAAATTGGACACGTGTTCTTAGAACGTTTTCAGTCACATCTGAAGCACGCGCGCATGCACTTTCAAGAAACATTAGCAAGTGTTCACAGACCTTTTACATCCATGACAAGCGTGTAGGCTGGCCTGCTCCAATTACTCCAGTACCCAAATCCATCCAGCCGCCTGCAGCGCACCTGTACCACGTAGACAGCACAGAGGTCCAGCACCGGCAGGCTGGCAGACTTTGCTTTTGCATCAAATACATCGTGTGTCTGTAACAGAAGTCACACCGTCAACACCTGTGCCTCCTGTGGGTTCCGGAGTGAGTTTGCTTATATTTGAAACCTTAATACCATACCATACTTAAGACAGAGTGATGTTGTATTTCCTCACTTCAGAAACACACAATATTTGGCTAGTCAGAGGAGCGCTGCCTCTCACATCTGGTCATTCCCTTGCTGACTCCTTGCACTTACAAGGTCAATCCCAAGCACACTCTTGCTCTACTGCTAACCTTTGCCCTTTGTTCCTCTCTCCTCCACAAAGACAAGAATTCAACAATGGCGGTCAGACAGGGCGCTCTCTAGAGAATCAAGCTGATAAGACTCTCACATACATATACCCCAGCTGATGTCACTGGGCTAATAATACAATCAGGGCATCCAGTATTTCCATTCTCAGCAAGCTGCCCCAGCAAAACTAAGACAAAATTTCCCATGTGCACACTCAACTCTATGATTGCTTACTAAAAGGAGCCTCTTTCAAAGTGCCCCATGCACACACATACTGAAAGATATCAGAAGCTTATACAAAGTGTGGGTCCCTGGAAGAAAAATTGAGTGTGAAAACAAAGGATGAAATATGGCAAAAGTTTCTTCAGCAAGGGCCTTCTTCAAAACTTTCCTGTCATGAACTGCCTCTCACACCAGGAGGGTACAATGAGGTAGGTTTTCCTGAGCCTAGTCAACCAGGCAATCTCTGTTTCACGAACAGTTCATTGGGAAAACGCCCTGTCAAGCATGCTTTGGGAAATGCTGGAACATTTTTGTTCCTTACAAGGATTAAACTTTGACAATCTAAGTCAGTACTTCTCAACCTTCTAATGCTGTGACCCTTTAACACAGTTCTTCATGGTGTGGTGACCCCAACCATAAAATTATTTTCATTGCTACTTCATAACTGTAATTTTGCTACTGTTATGAATCATAATGTAAATAGCTGATACTTGACCCTCGTGAAAGGGGTCATGACCTGCAGGCTAAGAACCACCAATCTAAGTAATAAAAGCAATTACACAATACAGGAGAGTATACTGTTTGTATGTCAGTGCCAATGGGACACACTATAAGATGCTGGTGCATGTTTGACTCTCAGCAGTTTGTGGTTACCTACATGAGACATGCATGAGCTTGGTCATGGAAAGGGAGAGGGGCTCACAGGGCCCACACTTCTCCCTGAGGATTTTACTGCTGCTAGGGAAGAGGAGACATTTTCTTTAGAAGTACAGCCGCTGGCAAGCTGCCCATGTTCCTGGAAGGAAATCCTTGCCAAAGATGGAGAAAGGCAACTGTCAGGAAGAGGAAGGGAATCAATAGTAAGGGATAAGAGGTGGTAAGGGGGATGAATATGATCAAAATACATATGTGTATATGTATATGAAAATATACAATGAAACCCATTATTAAGTATAATTAATATATGTTCATAAAACACTAAAATAGCATTTAGTAGTCTCAGCATTTCAGAGGCTGAAGCATTAGAGGGTTCACAAGTTGAAGGCCAGCCTGGGCTACAGAGTAGAGACTCCAATTTACAAAGGGGCATGGGAAAGGAGAGAGGGAGAAAGAGCAGAGAGGACAACAATTAGAAGTAAAAGGTACCTTCCATTGTATGTCTTTTCCATTTAAGCCATATCGAATCTGGAACTGAAGGTTATTCTCCGGAAAGACAGGCTTTTCCCAAGATACTTTTAATAATCCAATGTTTATAGTAATCTCTGCTTTCACACTAGATGGAGGTAGTGGTTTTACTAGAAATTTAAAAACATAACATCATGTAACAGTTACTTAAACAGTAATATCAACCCTCTTTATACTTCATATTTGTAAAGCAATACCCTTCCTAGAGCTTTCTCATTCATTGACTCATGCCTATTGCTTTGTGTAACACATAGGAAAAGGATTAGCTCTACTTTGAAAGCAAAGAGGTTCATTGGAAATCTCATCAGCACATTAGCGGTGTCACTTTGCAAGGTCAGAGAACACCTCCTGAGTGAGCCATTAGAAGATCACTTTCTACAATCTGAGAAAGCAGACCTTAATTAGCAGAAAACAGAGGTGCAAAATAATGCAATTTTTAAAAAAAATATATGTTTAAAAATGAAATGCATAAAAGTACAGAAACACACAGAAGATAATTACCTTGTTTCTTCTTCCTCTTCCTTCCTCTTCTCCTCCCCACCCCCTTCCCTCAGTAAGGTCTCACTTTGTAGCCCTGGCTGCCTTAGAACTCACTACATAGTTCAGGTTAATCTTGAACTCACCGAGATCTGCCTGTCTCTGCCTCCCAAGCACTGGTATTAAAGGTGGGCATCATACCCAGCTACCTTGTTTTCTTAACATCTTATATTGCTGCTCTCAACCTAACTTTGACTTACACCTGAGAGTGCATTTGCCCAATGTTATCATTTTTTCCCATGCAGCACCATTTTCCCTAACCATAGGACAATAAGGAAATGTGACTTGTTGGACTAGGATCTGGAAGTCCAAACGCAGATTAAGCATCTCGATCTCCTAATTGTGTCATGACACCAAGCATCAACTTCACAGTGCCACACCCATTTTGACTTCACGTTTGGGGGATACCCCTGAATGGGGCAATGGGTTCAGCTGCCATAGCAACATGTTAAAACACTTAGGTACTATACTTTCCCACTGGTAAGGAACTTTTCTCCTGAGAATATCCCCTCCTATCTCAGATCTTCTCGGCTCCCCTCCACAGCTGCCACAAGTCAGCATCTAACAGGTCTGAGTCTCTAGGATGATGGCCAGGACACTTCTCTTCTTGGGAATTATTTCACGGGTACCTCAACCATTGAACTATCCAAAGAGAAATGATCCTTGACTGGAATATGAAGTCCACAACCCTGGCGGCTGCACGGTATAGAAAGAAACCCACCAACCCATAAAGGGGGCAATGTACAGGTGTTGTATGAGGGAAGATAGGAAAGGTCTCTGTAAATATTCGTGGTCTGCCCCCGAAACCTGTTGATTCCCTCAAGCTCAGTAAATCAGGACACTGTTGATTCACAGAGGGTGAAGGCTACCTGCACTGGTCCTAGAGGGCGGCGGCTACCTGGACTGGTACAACAGGAGTGTTTGCCATCGTTCTTCTCCTCCGAGTCTCATTTCTAAGAACAACCACTGTAAACCGTGTGGCCTCTTGTGTGAGCAGCCCTTTTCAATCATTTAAGCAATCAACACTAGTACTTTAGACCATTCAGGACAAAACACCTTGAACTTGCTATTAGTATGTAGTTTCTCATGATCATTAAATTTCTCATAGCTCATGATAGTATTCATCACTAACCCTGTAAGTTGATCAAACTTTCATCTCTGGAAAAGGCCATTTCTTTTCAAGAAAAGTCCACATTTGAGGCTCTGTAGGGATTGATTCTTTGGTTGTGGTTCAGTGGGTCACATGGATGGATTCAGTGGCTACCAAGAGGGGGTGTATACACTGCCCCCAGTGATGCACACATGGGGGGAGCAGAAAGAGCCACACACCATCGAGAGGTGGTACAGAATGTCTACGGACCTGATCTAAGTTTTAAAAGCTACAAAGAGGTAGAGCCAAGACTTACATCCCAAAGCTTAATTTCCACATTGGTCTCTTCCTAAGGCAAGATGAGCCCGACTTAAATTCTTTGCTTTAGTTTAGGAAAGCAAAACACCCAATGGTATCCAGATAGGATGTTGCTGACCTCGTGTTGTGTGTGACTGCTCATGGCCCTTTATTAGCCTAGAATATTGAGTAACTGGAAAGTACCCATTGCAGTTAAAAAGAAAAATGGAATCGTGCAAAGAAAGAGATAATCAATTCAATTGGTATTTATATAGGAAAACATCTAATAGTTAAAATGAGTTCATCTGATATTTAACAAAATCTAGCTTCTTCTTCAAATGTGTGTTGATTAATCGAAAAATATATTGATTTTTGACATAATTTCCTAATGAATAATGTATTGCAACAAAATAAATAACCAGAAATGGGTCATATTTTTAAATATCCCACAGTGACTTTGGGAGAATACATCAAATGTCTCAAAGGCTCTTGGAATTCTTTAATCTCAAGATACTCTCTAAAGTAGTCTGTGACTATCAGAGATCTCGTCTTTGCCCACTTTCTTCACCTTCTTTGGATATTTCAAATGCCTTTTACCCAGCCTCACAAATTAAAGTCTTGAAATACGGTTACTTAGGTCACAAAGCCTTTAGATTATCCAGGTGAAGCTTTCAGATTAAAATAGCAAATGCTTTCAGGGATACTTTATATTCATAGAATTGTGCTCCCAGTTCCACAGGCGACTCATCAGGTGCTCTGTGGAAGTATCCACCTGCCAGGAATCTGTTATCCATATTTACAAACAAACACGCTACAAATAATATAAAAAAATAAACTCAAAATGGCAATATAAAAATCAACACTTCCTAAGGCCAGCCAATCATCTTCTCAATTTCTCTATAAAGGAAAGCATTCTTTTTCCTTCAGAATCTAGTGTGATTAGACAGCATCCAGATGGCATCCAAACCTAAGGAAAATGCAGAACGCCGTCTGACGTACCTACAGAGTCAGGAAGGACACACGTGGGTGGAGAGTCAAGAGAGCCTAAAGAATGGTTGATCCTGATCCACATTGTGTAGCCAGATAATAGAAAGATGGGCTGGAAAACACATTCATAAAATCCATCCTTCTGCAAGATGCAGTTTTTGGGCTCAGATGCAGGATGAATAGATGGACTATCGGAACAATACAGGCTGCTCCTTAAAAGATATTAAAAAAGAAAACAGCCAGTTAATATGTGGTATTTATAATAGACAAGAAGACATTTTAGAACTCTGATTTGTTGTTCAAAAGAGAGAGCATTCTCTGTATAGAAATTAATATTTTTATTAAAAAGACATTCTTGAGTCCCTAGCTCTATCCGGATCTCAATCTTTCCATGGAAACAGTAACCATAAAAACCTTGCATGAGCACTGAGTAGTGAAGGCACTGGGAAGAGCCGACAAGAAGGTAAGTTAGAGTCACAGGACTGTGATGGTCCCAGGAGCCCACTGGTTCTCAGTCTTCCTAGCGCTGCGACCCTTTGAAACAGTTCTCCATGTTGTGGTGACCCCCTCAACCATAAAATAATTTCATCACTACTTCACAACTGTAATTTTGCTACTGTTATGAGTTGTAATGTAAGGATTTTTTGGAGATCGAGGTTTGTCTGAGGGGCCAGGACCCACAGGCTGAGAACTCCTGTACTAGAGGTTTGCATCGGTGACATGCTTGTAGCAGTACGGATCCAAAGCTGGGCACTCCTGGGGCGGAAGCAAAGCAGGTTCTTCTTGCTTCATAAAGTGGGTTAAATTCCAACAGAAAGTGAGAATACAGCTGCTGGAAATATTTGGCTTGATCAATAGTGCCCTAATGCTTTCTAGTTCCAACTGATGTAATTAATGCCAAATCCTGATTCATATGTGAATGGTAATGAAATATATTACTCATTTTCTCAGAAATAATTCTTTTTTTTTAATATTTATTTATTTATTTATTATGTATACAATATTCTGTCGGTATACCTGAAGGCCAGATTTTACAGATGGTTGTGAGCCACCATGTGGTTGCTGGGAATTGAACTCAGGACCTTTGGAAGAGCAGGCAATGCTCTTAACCACTGAGCCATCTCTCCAGCCTCCAGAAATAATTCTTTTAAACATTAGGAGTCTCGACAAACCTACTTCCTCACAGAATACAAGGTGTTTCTTCTCTTTGAAATGGTCCTTCTGACATCACTGTTTGCTCTGAGAATGGTATTTAACCGACTAAAGCTCTGACTGTTCTCTCCAGGGATGAAAATGAGAAGAAAAAGAGAACAAAAACACTAAAATCTTTTCTCATTTACCATCTTTGCAATATTTTCTCCTCAAGGTTATCAGTGTGTGTGTGTGTTCAGATAATTAATGGTGAGAGAAATACAGTAACAGAGGGATGTGTAATCATCACTGGATAGAAAATAGCAGTGTAGAAACACAGGTGAAGGTCCACCTTGGAACGATTAGCATCACCATCATGATAGCGATAACCATGTATGCTCCAATGGGATGTTTCCTATATACTGTAATTACTTAATTACAATGAAACGAAATGCCATTAATTCCCCCTAGGAACCATATAAATCACAGCATTTTCTCCATTTCACAGACAAGGAAATTAACAAGTGAGAGGATCACAAACTCACTAAGTATTTGTAGTTGGTCACATGATGACCCTGTGAATGTCAGGAGGGTAAATGAGCCATGAGGCTTATAAAATGGTCTTTTTTTTTTTAAATGGTCTTTGTTTTTTTTTTAAATGGTCTTTGGCAAACATGTGTTTGCATGGGAAAACACATGGAAAGACATATATAATTACAAGGGCCTATCAACTTTCAACTGGCTTAAAAATATTCATAGCAGATAGGATAAAGACAATAATTCTTCCGACTTAAGAAATGCAGAAATTGAAATTTTTCTTCCAACCTTGCAGAGGAGTCAACGCAGAACATGAGGGACAGAGTTCAGATCACAGGATTTGATCCTGTGATACATTTTTTGAGCTGAAATCTTTAGTTTTAAGAAGAAATGGGCACATTGTAGAAACTGAGATTGCCCAATACAAATGTCAGTATCAGAGCCTAGAGTATAAGAGAGTAAGCATGCTGGCTGACCACCATGGGATCCTCTGAATACCAGGACGTGTTTATCTTCCCAACAACGAGATACAGTTTAGGACATACGCTATGTTGAGACAAGGGAAATACTGTATGGAGATGTCTCAAATTTTTAAGCAAAGAAAGGTAAAAATAAATAAGCACACAATTCTCTTTATTATTAATTATTAATCTCTTACCCCTAATTAACTACTGTTTGCTTCCTAACTTAAATCACTTTGTTCTAAAAGAGTCACATCTTGTAGGATCTGGCACTTTTGCCTTTTTCCTAAAACACTTATCATTACTTGAATGATAGTCAACTCTTTTTTGGCACAGCTCACTTTAGGCCATTCTTGGAGCCCAAATACACTGCATAGGAAATAAGTCTCTTGCCTCCCTTGCATGTCACTCAAAGACTCAAAATGCAATCCCAAGAAACCGTTTGGCAGACATGACAAAATGAGGTTAAAGCACAATATATATTATACATATAATATAAACCTCAGGTGTGAATGTTGTGAAAGATTACAATGTATGTAATTTCTCACAAATTTTCTAGCAAATTAAATTCAAAATTCTGCTCAGGGAGAAAAAAATGTGCCAGATTTCTGCTATGGTAATAGATAACTGGCCCTGCCCGGAGAAAAATCAAGAAGCAAATATAATACATACCTGTGATACCTCAACTGCACAGTGCTTCCCACAAGTGATTGGATTGTGCTGGGTGACCATCTGCAAGTCATTTTAGTTAAGTACCCGTCAGTTTCACATGATATATTGATATTGACATCTATTTAAAACACATTAAAATATTAATACAAAGTACAAACACCAAAAAAAGTATGAAAAACATTTTCTTTAATAGGACTCTAACACAGTCCGTGACAACGAGTGATCTCGTGGGACAGAATGAACAAGGCCTTGGGGTTCTTACCGATCACATATAACTCAGCGTAGCGGTGGTGACACTCCTGCCCACTGCAGCAATACACTGCGTCATAGGCAAACTTCCCGCGGGGTCTGGTGGCTTTCAAGTTGGAAAAAGTAACTTTGCTCACACGGTCATTCACCGTGCTATACTGGATTTCAGGGATTTTCTCGGCTAGATTCATCCACCAAACTATCTGTTTGGAGGAAATAATTTGGTTTTCATTCTTGTAGATGCAATGGAAGGAAGCGTTCGATCCAACACTTGTCAGAATTTTGGGTGGAAAGTACATGACGTCTGTAACACAGGAAGAAAGGTGGGGACGGAAACCATCCTGTGAGTAGCCGATACCATAGCAAAGAGATCCCCATATGTCTAGTTACCCTGCCAACATCAAGTCACTGTACTGAGAAACTGACTGACACTGTGGACAGCCCTTTAGAGCCCCAGGAATCCCTGCTCTCAAGTGAAGAGGACCTCCAGGAGCACCATGACAAGCTTCTAAACATGGGGCTTAACAACTGTTGTAGCAATTGTCACTGAAATGAACTCAAATGGAGTATCATTTATCATTTCCACGATGATACATTTTCTATAAGACTTTTAAAACTGAATGTGCCCATGTGGGCACAAACAAAAATAAGTAAGTAAATAAACACACGTTAAAGGAAAGAGAAGGCGCAGTGAGATGGCTTAGCGGGTAAAGGTGCTTGCCACCAACTCTGAGGACCTGAGTTCGGTTCCTAGGACTGCCATGATGGGATGAGAGAATTAACCACAACACGGTGTTCTCTGATCATGGCATGTGCATGGCGGCATGTGTGTGCATGCAAAATAAGTGAACTTTTAATTTCAAGAGGATCAGTGAAACATAGCATGTATCATGTTATCACTATGATACAAAATCTTGATGAAAAGGGGGATGTTGTTATTGTTTTTTATTTATACGTATGAAAGTTTCTAATAAACAGGCAAAGAAATGGGTCAAATGGCTGGCCCTGTAATAGCATGCTAAATTTACTGCGATGGTTTGTGTATGGACTCTCCACACTGGACACTTGCACTGAGTGTATCGGTGGTAAACAGAAACGGGATAGCAGCAGGCAGATGCACTAGACTATGGGCGTGACTGGGTGTAATCCCGGCCTCGGGGACATGCAGCCTTCACTGTTGGTCTGTGCCTGTTGCACACTCGAGAGAAGGCTAACTCCACTGGGTGGGCTCCACAGCCTCACCGCTGGGCTGTCTCAAAGCCTCCAAGTTGCTGTTATTTTCTAGAGAGGCACAGAGTGACTTTCATCAATTGAGGCTTTTCACTTACAGATTATTTTTAAAGCTGCAAGGTATTTTAGTTCAGCATCTAATGCATCTAGTGAAGCTTAGTTGAGAAATAAAGTTAAGATACATGCGGTTTGTAACTGATTAAATACTTAAATTGAGGCTTTAACACAAACATTAAAAGTGACAATCTATAAATTTATTCTAAAAATTGATGAAACATGAAATAAATGCTAAATACTTAAATACTATCCAAAATTTAGCCCGAGGAATAGGACAGCCATGACTTTTTCTTTATGTGACCGAAACCCACTGATAATTATGCAATATCTACATTAATGAATTTTATTAAAAGGAGATAGTCTAGTGATGATATTGTTATTAATTTCTCAAAAGAATATAGGCCACGAATCAAAGCATTTCTAGATAAATGCTTTGATTTTAGAATGTGTTCATCACAGGCCCCAACATGGACTGTTTAATTCCAGGAGCAGATGCGCTGAATTTTCTGTCAAGGGGAAACATGGATCCTGACTCAATGGAGATGGTTTGTGATTCAGCCAGCATCACCTTGCCATTATGTCAGCACAGTGGTTGATACTGTAAAGAGAAATGTTTGGGGGAGCTACTTAAGTGGGCTAGTTTCTATTTCCCCTACGAGCATCTTAGTTTGTTTCTCATATAGTGAGCTTCTTTCTCTTAATCCTCACCTACTAGCCCTCAGAGGCAGCTAAGATCATCAGGCAGCACAATGGCTGAGACTTTAAATGGCTTAGGACCATAAGCTAACGGCTGGGATACCAGCCTGTGGTGCTATTGGGATCTATAAAACCTTCATGAAGGACAGTCCAGTGGAAGGAGCCAAGTCATTGACATTGGGACCCAGGCTCCTTCTTCATTTCTTTTTGCTTTCTGACAGCAGTGAGCTGAACAGACCTTCTCTCCTGCGGGTTCGTTCCCACTGCTGGCGAACTGTGTTATCACAGGCTTAAAGCAACAGGATCAAGGTTAAAACCTAAAATAGGAGCCCAAGTACATTTTTTTAATCTTATAAAATTAAGTTTGGGGGTAATTTTGACTAGAAGGTGCTATTTAATCACTTTTTTTTTTCTGTTCAGGGTGTCTGAAGTCTAGAGATACACTTGAGTGATAATGGACAGTCTAGCTATTAATATACATGTGGTTGACTATTACACAAGCTAAATGATAACGTTGTATGTGTGTGTGCTTTAAATATCTGACTATGCTGGGGCACAGGGGTCCCCCAACATGAACAAGAAATGTCAATCATGCAGGGGTGTCTCCTCAATGGAGGAGATGCCAATCAAATACCTGCCTTCCGTTCAGAAAGCTGAGAGTGGAGGTTCATACCAACCTGCTGGTCTTTTTGCTATCTGAAAGGGCAGACCTCACCCTAATTCCCCAGAATGGTTATCCCAGACTCTTCCCTCCCTAGACTGTTACCCATCCTTAGGGGATGTCATGACTACTTTATGGTCTGGTGGCCTCTATGCTATTAGAGAATACAGTAGACTCTAGGTCTTCGAGCTATAGAACCTATCCTCATTGGTCAGATGCACCTTGTAAAAAAGTCCCTATGTAGTCACACCTTCAGCTTTATTGTGCACCTGGAATTGGACCGATTGTTGCCTGGAAATTTTTCCCCAATGTACTATGTTTTAAACATGCTGACAATGAACTGTCTGGTATTAGACTCTCTGAAGTCTGATCCAAGCTGACAAAGTCAGTCGGCACTGAATTTCCATTTTTATCTCTTGGTGCAGTTCATTTCCCTATATGACACCTGGAACCCTCCCCCCCCACATGACTATAATATATAAGAATGTAAAATATGAGCTGATATTTGAAAAAAACAAGCAAATTTAAACTTACAGTTATTGACATACATTGCAAAGAAAAAACAGGACTAAAAACATATCTATCTAAAGACTTAAATTGAATGAGATCAATTATTTGGCAAAATGTAACCAACTAGTGTATTGTATGAAGTTTCTAGAAAAGCTTTTATAGTCAGCCCTGAATCCTAGCAAACTTTGAAAAACAACCTTGATTCTTTTAGCACTGCCTCTTTTTCTTGAAGGGGAAGTTTTAAATGTTAATTATGAAGTAAAACAAGAAAATAAAGCAACATCTGTCTATGGCAGCTAAGCGCAATGCCCTGTGGCTAATAAAGTCAGGCTTTCAGTGTGTGTAGGCATGGGGGCCTTCTCTTTCCTTCACACAGTTTCCCTCTTCCTCCAGACCTGACCCATCACACCACACAGAAGCCTCCACCTGGGATACCCTGGTTTGTGTTTCCTCCATGTGACTCCATAGGGCACAGCTAGTCAGTAAGACCTGCTAGTAGAAGACTCTGTTTCCCTCGGGAAGCAACCACAAAGTTCAAAACCTGAATTACCAGCACCCCATTACACATAAGGAAACAGTAGAAGGTTATTCGAGGAATAAACACATAAAATCACCATCTAACTCTCCTCATGCCAGATCCCCGAGTCTCCCAGGCTAAACTATTTATTGTCCAACACTCAGTTTAGCTCCCTCTCACGATCTTACTTTGTGCCAAGCAGTTAGTGTCGATCTTCCCGTCTCTTTTTAGGTTTTGAGATTCTGAATGTGTAGGCTGTGAAGTCATAAACTAAAATGACATCTGATAGTTACTGAATGTCTGTTATGAGTCAGGAGCCATAACACAAGCCTCACTGTGCTATTTCGCCATAGAAAGGCCGTCCATATGAAAACATCCTGACTTTACAGACAAGGAAACTGAGGCACAGAAAGGTGAAGAACCTCTCCAAAGAAATCATATTGATGGCCCTTGTATAAACTGGCAGACTCCAAAATCAGTGCTTCTCAGACACTGATGCAACTTGCTTTCTGTCTAATTAACACGTCTTCAATACTAAGTAATCAATAAGGGAACTTGTTGAATGAAAGAGATTGACTGTGCTGGGTATTTTACATCGCCATGTCTGAGCATCCACCATCAACCCGAGTAAAACTGAACAAGCAGGCTGCCAAAGGATGATTAAGTGTCTTCCTAAAGTCACAACTCAACGGGAGCAGGGTTGGAAACGGCACAAGACTCTCGGGGTTCGACAAATGCTGCTTCTCGCCTCCCTGAGGAACACGTGCATAAACCACCATTTCCTTGATGTTAAAAATAACCCTGAGAGGTGGCTGGATGCCAGACACACAGGCCTCTGAGTCACTGCAGCCAGATGGAGAGCCCAGGGGATCGCTCACACCTGAAAAGGACTGCTGAATTACTCGCGCAGGAGGTGGAAGTCTAGGTCGAGTGTGGGACAGTCTCAGTGGGCCCCCAAGAGTGTCAGTTTTACCCACAGTGTTCTCAGTAGCAACAGGTTCTGGGCTGGATTTCCAGGGAGAGCTGTGCCAGGCGTTCTTAGCTGATACCAACAGGTTGTTGTATCAGTTAGGATTCCAAGGAGAGAACAGGACCCACCCACAGTTTGAACAGCCTCTACCAAGCTTGCTTTATTGGTAGGAAAACCTGAGGTAGGGATAAAATCAATTTTTTACTGTTGACACCTGATACTGTGGGACAGCCATCAAGTCGACAGGGAACAGTTGCAAGATATTGCGGTACACTGTCTACAGAACGAGATGCAGCCTGCAAAATGGCTGATCTTTACGGATACCGCGAAGGCTTTTCACATGAATACAGATTTGATCCTCTGAGTTATGGTGAATTTAGAGATCAAAACAAAGAATGGAAAAATAGTCAAAGTGAGGGAAGAATGGAAAATTTAAAAACAAAACAAGACGCACACACACACGTGCATGCGCACACACACACCCCACACACACAGTTTTAGGGTCTGGCCAATGTATGGGGGAAAATATAGTATCCACTACTGTAGAGGAGCCACCCTCTAAAGATACTGGCATTGCTCGGGTGCTGTTTGGTGGTACTACGAGAGGTCCTGGGTTAGGGGGACAACTGGTGTTCCTAATCCCCAGAACCTTGCTGGATCACCTGGTTCTGTCCACGTGGCTGGAGTCCAGCCCAGCAGCCAAACGCCACAGCAGCCGCTGCTGTTGCTGCTCCTGCCAGCATTGCTGGATCCCCAGTATCCTCCAGCACAGGGTGATGGGTACTCCATCCCCACCTCCAGGAACTGCAGCTCCTCTACCTGGCTTGAGACAACTCTTAGGCCCAGCAATCGACCTGCCCCCTGCTCAAGGAACACTGATATACAGACCTCTCTTTATGAATGAATGCCCTCCACCAGAAATTAGAGGTCCACCTTCCCCAGGAATGCATGCACCAAGACTCTAGGATATTGCAAATGAAAATTATTCTCTTTCCCCTGTATTATACCTCATGAAATTGTGTACCGTGTGAGCTTTGACCCCTCTCCCTATTAATTATAGCTAATAAAATATGCAGAGCAATTAAAAAATACTCAGAGAGTACAAAGACTTTACTCTGAAAACTCCTAAAACAGTCTGCTGAGATGTCCCAGTAGGTGAAGAGCTTGTTGCACAAGCCTGAGACCCTGATTTCGGATCCCTGGCACCACAGAAAAAGCCAAGCCCAGTAACCGAAGCCTGTGATCTCAGCACTGGGAAGCAAAGACAGTAGGATCTGAGGGGCTTGCCCAAGCAGATAGCCCAGCTGAATCAGCAAGCTCCAGGTTCTCAAATATTTTTGAGAATCAGCAAGCTCCAGGTCAAATATTTGACCCTGTCACAAATAATAAGGTGAAGTTAGAAGATAACCAAAGACAACCTCTGGCCTCTTAAGCATAACACCCCCATACTCACCCACTCTCTCGTGAGCGCACACGCATCTCAAAATAAACATTTTAAATGTTTATCCCTTTGTTAAGATTTATTTATTATGTATATAATATTCTGCCTATATGTAGGCCTGCATGCCAGAAGGGGGCACCAGATCTCATTCTAGATGGTTGTGAGCCACCATGTGGTTGCTGAGAATTGAACTCAGGTCCTCTGGAAGAGCAACCAGTGCTCTTAACCACTGAGCCATCTCTCCAGCCCTTAGTGTTTATCTCAAATGAATACATGTGGATTCTAAACAAAAATGAAAGAATTAATGACATAAGTGGCATACACTCTAGATTCTTAAAGTGGAAATTTCATGTTAATTTTGTATCTTTTTGACATGTTTCATTATGTAGCCAAGGCTGGTCTCAAACTTGTAATCCTCCTCTCTCATGTTTCAGAATCCTGGAATTCACTGGCATGATTAAATTGTTCACTTTTTCATATTAAAAAAATAACTCCAAAGAGGGTATTTTGGAAAGCAAATAGGCACTCAGATGCAATTTTCAGTAACAAATCAGCCTGCTCAAGATTGAGGAAAGTGTAGTGTGTCATAGACACACAGATCTCTAACGCCAGTACTCAAGATCAGCCAAGGCTATATACTCAGACCTCATCTGCAGAAAGAATTTTAAATAAAATGTCAATATTATCCCCCTCCTCTTGTGGAGGGAAATAAAAACTGAGATGCTCATGATATACCAACGGCAAGGAAGGCAAGGTCTGGGAGAATATTTCCAGAGAAGCTTTGGCAAGCCTTACCTTGTATGGAAAAGACTCGAGGCAAACTCCAGTCACTCCAGAGTCCTGAGTCGTCCAGCCTCTTGCTCCTCACCTGAACTTCGTAAGAAGATCCCGGAAGCACACTGTGCACCAGCAGGAATGGAGCCGAGACAACTTCAGTAACCTGTGTCATGTTATGTTGAAACAACAGAGCACCAAGTTGGTGAGGAGCATTTGCCAAAGCTGAGAAGAAGCAAGCCTCGGCAAATCTCAAAGAAGCAGAGCATCACAGACGTCTGGCCACAGAATTGAAATAAGAATCATTGACCAAATGAAAAAAAAATCGATAAATAGGAATTTAAAGAGCCTGTAGGTCAAACAATTGTGTCAATTAACAAGTACTAACTGAAGGCTAACACCAATGTGGGCTTTAGGGTTTTTGAGAAATGGTGCCTAAGTTCCTGAAAATCTGGTAGCCACGTTTCTGTCATTGCATATCTGGTAGGGAACAATGAGCAGAGATGCAGAGAGGGCTGTCAGGGTCCTAGAGAGGGAAGTTGCCCAAGAAAAAGAACAGGAGTGATAGTGACGTCCTGACCCCGAACTTCAGGCCAGGAGTCAACACAGTTTATAAACCAGAGGGGAAGACATCTGAGGCCAAATCCCGTGGAAAGCAAACTCTAGCTAGGATCTCCCTGTGTGGCACGTTCCGCTTTCCAATAAGGTGCTTCAGCTGGACTTCCTGCTCACTTCAAGACTGTGAGAGGAAGACAGGGGTCAAAGGGTAAATAAAAATCATGAAAAGCGTGAAGCGTGCCTAGAGCACGGTCCTGTGGTTTCAGACTCACAATGAGGAAGCATCTCGCGGCAGCCCTCACTCTGTAACTACACACCGACACCAAGGGTTCCCGAACCGCTCTCTAAAAATAAGGCCTGAGAAAGTAACACAGTCCCAAGAAGATGGATTTCTACCTGGAATGGTGTGGCAGGAAGGCTCACTGTGTGCTGTGAAAGCTTTCACCTGAGGCCACAGGTCATTCGTGACCTCCTCCTCCCCACCCACTCCGGGCTCGGACACCATGCCCGCCACAGTTGTAATCACTCACAGCCTCAGCCACACCTGCCTTCTGCACTGCTCTTCCTGGTACCCAGTCTTCCGGATCCCTACAGAGCCATCTCCTCCAAATCCTTACTCAAATATCAGCCTCCCAATGAGGCACGCCCCAAGCGCCCCTTAGTGTGGCAATCTTTCCTCCTCCCCTTTGGCCCCAAGGCATCTTGCTGCATTTAGAATAGCCCCTGGCCACAGACAGGCACTCAAAACACACATCAGCATAAGCAAGAGCAGGTGCTGATTGACACCACTGGCGCAAACACCGTGTGTAAACACACTGAGCTACAAAAGCGGGAGGATGCTATGTACATCTGCACTCTACCGATGAAAACGTTATAAGTTAAATTTTCATAACTGGACTTTCTGTAGTATATATAAATTATCTCAATATGTAATATTCAATATAATTCAGTCCTCACTAGAAAGCACAGGCTTATTTAGCAGGCAAGGGTAATTTCTGCAAGACTTAAGGATCTTTAATCGCTTCCCAAAGTTTCACTTTCTTTACCAAAATATACTTACCTCTCTTGTAACTGTAGAATTCTCTGAATATTTCACTTGATATTGAAGTGGAAACTGGGCCTCTGTTGGGCTGTCCCAAGAAATCTTTAAATTACCATCATCTGTGATTTCCATATGCAAACCTATCGGTGGATCAGGCTTCACTGAAGGGGAAACGGGGGAGGGGGGGGAAGACTTGTAAGACAGGCAGTTTTCACAGCAACCATATCCGAGTAAAATGTGGTTGAAATGAATTGCCAGCATAGCTTGCCTTTCAGATACTTAAAAAACTTAAATCATTTGAGGGCTAATTCCAGAGTTAAAGCAGAGATATATGGTGGGCCCTTCCTCTGTACCACACTAAGCACAGCAAACCACTGTCTTGGTTTCTTTCCCCTGTGTGGGAAAGACTATAAACCAGTAAGTCGAGTTGTTTTGACAAATGCGATTTCCCTTCTGTAAAACGTCTGCCTAAGTTCACTTTGCCTGGTTAGTTTCAAACTTACATGGATCCTCTGCCTAGATGCAGTCACTGCACCTGCTTTCACTGGCCACGAGGACAACAGCAGAATGCAGGACACTGCTCAGGAAATGCACAGACCTGGGTAAAAGCCAGCATATCTGTCCATGTAAAATACCCACCCAAACACACCCCCTCAGCTCAAAACAGACACTCCCGTGTAATAAATGGACCACTGTAAGGCCCTGGCTGTCTCTCGACATAGGAGTGGGGTCTCTTAGCTTAATGGGGACTTTAACGAGGTAAATGATTTCTGAGTTTAAAAGTGCACGTGCTTATTAACATCTGTATATGTATGCGCATACAGAAGTACTTGATTATGTCAACCGTTATGAAAACCTTTCAAATATGCAAGAAGCAATTTACATATCTTACAGGTAAAGATTGCGCTAATAAATGATGGTTCATAGCATAAAGGAAATTCGAGCAGCCATTAAAAGTCACATTGCAGTAGACTATTGAAAATGTTTAACTTCTGAAGCTCAAGAGGTTTATCACAAAGTCATACTTTCATTGTTTTATAAAATGTATTTAATATTATGTGTGTGTGCTGTGTGCACATGCATGCACACACATTCAAGTACCCTAGGAAACCGGAAGTTGACATTGGACCCCCACACACCAGGAGCTAGAGTTACAGGGAGTTGTGAGCTGTTGTGTGAGTGCTGGGAATCTGAGACCTCTGCAAGAGTCAGAGCTTTCAAATGCTGAGTCAGTCTTCAAGTTATATCCCCGAGGTGTTAAAAATAGTGAATAGCATATATATTGCAAATTAGAAGTGTGTATAAATGGTAATATATATGTATATATATATATATTTGTTCTTTGAACATTCTATGTTTACAAGGTTTATACAATTAATAGGAATTTCTGAGCTTGTAGAAATTACTATTACAATAACAAATTTACTGGTTTGAACTGTATTTTCAACCAAAATTCACTTAGTTCCCATGCATCTCATCTGTTCAGGAATTTAGAGAAAGTTTTTTTGTTTGGGGTTTTTTTTTTTGTCTTTTCATTTATTCAAACCTACTGACACTTATTTTTTGTGCCTTATTACAAGTTTAGGTTATTGTAAGCAGGGTGACTAAATACTAAATGCCACATAAATGTTATTGGGTTCCCAGGACCAAAAACAACACAAAAAATAAAAAAAAACAAAGAGGGGTGCAATTATACACAATTGCAAGTGAGTTCACATTTCCTATCTTCTACCATTATACGCTCATTTTAAAATATATTAAAAACATTTTCCCCTGGTTCTCCTATATCCAGCCCAGCACTTGCTGCCACTGATCAGGCCTGCTGTATGAGTAGAAACCCTCCCCTGCTCCCCATGGCATCTCCAGCCCCTATAATAATCTTTGCACACATGACTCCTAAGACAGATTTCTTGGAGGAATAAAGTCAGGTAAAAATGCTTCTAATAATTTCCAGAAATAGTTATCCAAGATGTAAACAGAGTCACATAATACATATCCATCCACTAAATCCAAGACATACAGAGGCCACGGCTGCTTCAAAGGATCACTTCGGTGCTAAGGTTAGAGACATCTAGGACTGTGAACACAAGAAGAAGCTGCCTGTGAATCCCAAGTACTACATTTCCCATGATTTCCAATATTGTTCAAAGTGATGGAAGCCAGTGACAATCTTTAACCCATAAGCAACCTTTCAACCCCTTCACGTGACTGATTTTTTTGTAAGAGCCATTGTCGTTCTGAAGGACAACTTACCGACAAGTGAGGGCTGCACGGACAGCAGAGGGGACTGAAAAGTGACACCAGCAGCTGTCATTTCCAAATACATCAGAAGAGAGTGGTTGAGTTGGGCTCTTGGCACTGGCACATCGCAGTCACAGCCCCGAACACTGCAGTTGCACTGCACGGCCTGAAAACTGTCTCTCGAGGGGGCCCGGGACAAATCATCTGTGACTTCAGGCCTGCATTGAAATACAAGAGCCAAATGTGAGCATGGGGGTGGGGATACTAGACTAAAGTATGTGACATTATCAACCTAACTTGGGGGAGCTGGGAGTGGTCAACTGAAATGTCACATGACGTACAAAGTGGTATTCGGTCACTTAGATGCTAAGACATGTCCTAATTCAAAAGCCACTAAAAATAATTAGTCAATAAAGAAGATTAAATGGAATCATAAAACATAACTTAAAAGAGGGACTAGAGAGATGACTCAGCAGTTAAAAGCACTGGCTGCTCTTTCAGGGGACCTGGGTTCAATCCCCAGTGCCCACATGGCAGCACACGACTCTCTGTAACTCCAGTTCCAACACCCTCACACAGACATCATGTGGGCAACACACTAATATACACAAAATACATATATATTATATATAAGGTTTTATATATATGTGTGTATACACACACACGTATGTATTTATAACCTACAAGAATGGAGGAAAGTAGCCAGGCAGTGGTAGCACACACCTCTAACCCCAGCACTTGGAGGCTGATAGATCTGAGTCTGGGGTCAGCCTGGTCTACAGAGCAAATCAGAGCTACATGGAGAAACCCTGTCTTTGAAACCCTGTCTTTGAGAAAGAAAATGGAGAAAAGAAAAGGACAAGAAATAATGAGATGAGAAAATAAACAGAGGCTTGGGAATAGAGTTAGTGTCATTAAATGCAAATAGCCTTCACTTAGAAGGCAGTCAGTAGCAAAGTGGGAAGAAAAAAAAAAGACCCAATTACAAACCTCTCATAAGAAATCAATTTTAACATTAAAATGCAAATTTACTAAAGAGAGCATTAGAAAAAGATATGCTATTCCAAGACAAATCAAAATAAAGCTGAATGGCTACACTGACGTCAAGAAAGTTGAATTCAGGGCAATAATTATTTACCATGGTAAAGAGGATCATTCATAACAAAAAAAAATTGTGAAGAGGGGTCACTAAAAGTACATAATAAGTATTTATCTAATAACAGGCAAAAATAGGCTTAGTAATAGTTACTGGTGGAAAATTTAACCATTCTCTAATAATGAATGTAGCAAGTAGACAAAATGATTCGGGATTAAGAGCTGAACAACGCTGTCAACCAACTTGACCCATGTTGCGGGACTGGTCCTCCACACGCTAACCATAGTAAGTTCACCTTGCAGCAAGCCAACATTTAGCAGTGCCAAATTGTGCAAAACAAGCCATCCCTCACATTGAAGGACAATGTTCACCAAGAGCTGCAGAATTTCTCATAGGGCAACGAGAAAGTAGACTCAAATATGTAACATGTTGCATATTTAGTTCTTATTTGCTTTCATGTAAAGTTTATTCCTACATCTAAGAATTAAGCACAGCGTGAAGAAGAGGGGGACTGAGGAGATGGCTCGGTGGGTAAAGTGTTTGCTACACAATCATAGGGACCATATTTGGAACTCAACCCACTTAAAAGCTGGATGTGATTGTGAGCAGTACTCTGAGTGCAAAATGGAAGCAGAAGCTGGAGACTCCCCAGAAGCTCTCAGACTAGCTAGCCTGGTTTGTCAGCAACGAACAGGACACCCTGCCCCCAAATGAGGTGGAATGTGAGGACTGCTGCACTCTGACCCCTCTCTCCACACACACACACACACACACACACACACACACACACGTTGCTACAATCTGTTTAATTCTTAGATATATGAACAAGCTTTACTTGAAAATGAATAATGATGCAAAAACATCTGTCAGATTGATTTTAAATCTGGCTTATTTACAAGACTTACCTTGTGCAAAATTTTCTAGGTAGAGACATAAGTATTTAGAGCTCAGAATTTGTTGCTAACAGCCAGACGTGGTTCACAGGAGGCACTTTCGGTCCTCTGATACAGTCATTCTTTTCTTCCCAGGAAATTTCTCTATAAAATTACTAGCATTCTCTAAGCCAGGTCTATGCTAAACTGGTATGAAATACCACCAAAGAGTGGCACCTGAGGTTTTAATTTAGGAAAGATGACAGCCAACCCCAGTTTAGAGCTCTTGAAGAGTAACTTCACCAACATTAGCTTTGCAAATTGACTATTTGAAGTTTTATACCATGAGCTGATAAAAATGGTACCCCAACCAGGGCGGTAGTGGTGCACACCTTTAGTCCCAGCACTTGGGAGGCAGAGGCAGGCAGATCTCTGTGAGTTTGAGGCTACCCTGGTCTGCAGAGCAAGTTCTAGTACAGCCAGTTCTACACAGAGAAACCCTGTCTAAATAACAACAAAAGATTATATATAATATGTACATATATATGCATATATATGCATATATTCCATTAATTATCTAGATTACAGCCCTTGGCAATCAATTTTCTCTTCTCCAAGTTCTTCATATCCGGCATCATGAGGAGGCTGATATTCAGCTCAGGAGTCCACACTGACCATGTCCTGGGTTCAAGCACTTTACCCATGGATATGAGTCCCCTCACATCCTCTGCATCCCTCTCTCTGTCACCTCAATTCAGCAATATCGCCAGGTGCTGCCCAAGTTTCCCAGTCCTGTGCTGCATTCTGGAAACTTCTCCCATCATAAACAGCTCAGGCAATTTAGTGCCTGCTTTGATTCCTTCCACCATATAAGTCACCACTCCCGTGCAATAAAGTAGATGACGTTCCCTGAAGTCATCTCCTGAGTGGTTCATCTCTGTGCCCTCTACCAACCCACTGGTGTTGCCTTCTCAGCTGGGGACACCCCGGTAATGACAACAATACCCCATAACTCAAAACGAAAACGAGCACATGCCCAAGTCTGGCAGACAGTTGGCTGTATCATTTGAAAGACAGAGCGAGTCAAAGAACCCTCAGTAAATACTCGCTGTTCGTCAACATCTCCAAGTCAGAAAACAAACAAACAACAACAAAAAACCCACCCCTGACCCTAATAGATGGCACCTGTCGTCAACCTGATGGCCTGAGTTTGATTTCTGGAACCCATGAAAAAGAGAACTGACCCCTGCAAGTTCTCTGGCCATGGCCGTGCCGTGACACACGCACCCACACATGTGTATACACATAAACACAAATAAATTAATGTAAAGATAGATTTGAACTACCCCAAGCTCTTCCCAAGTATGAGATCAGCTAGCTTCTCACCAGCTCATGCTTGATTTTCTAAATATTTCCTCGTCTTAGGAAGCAGTTTGCTTGCTGGCCCTCTGCATCTGCATTACCAATGGGAGCAACACCCGTGACCAAAAAGACCACCCTCCCTGGCCAATGCCCCTCAGAAGGAAGCTCAAGGATAATTTTGGTGGAATTTGAGAGAAAAGCACCAGGGCAGGAAGGCTGCACACCTCAGCAGCTACCTGGAGGGGTGAGATAAAAAAGAGGAAGAGAGGGAGGCAACCATTTGGATGTCGACCAGCAGCTGCGTGGTGGAAGATGGAGAAAAACGGGTAAACCCAGAATGCCAGGGAGAGCATGCTTAGGGTTTAGCCAGCATCCAAAATGGAAAGAAAATAAGAAGTTACGATTTTCTGAGTAACTCAGAAAAGTGAACAGGCAGCGGCTCCATAAACCACTGAGTGGTGAAGGGGCTTCCGGGTAAGACAGACTATCTCACTAAGCGGCTAATTAGTCTGCCCCTCACCTCACAAGTCTGTCGGGGAAACAGGTTTCTGACAAGGTCTGAGTGAGTGAAGAGTAGGTTACTGGTCCAGTGATTGACAGGACAACTATAGTAACTCTTTGAAGAAGGTCATTTAGAAGGTCACGTCACCCCCCATGCCAAGAGGTAGAATTTCGATTCTGTTCTTCTGACAAAAAAAGTTTTGTCTTAGTGGGCCTCCATAGAGCCTAGATACTTTCACTTTTCAATAAAGAATTTAAATGCTAAGGAGGGTCTTCCTTTCTTACATTACCAGAAAAATAGGAGGTAGGGCCCAAAGTCCATGAGGGACAGATCCATCCTCATTGTCCTACCAGCTAATAAAAATCTGTCTAACTACTAGGACATGGGAATTATGTAATATCTAGTCTCTCCAGAAATAAGTTAAAGTCAAGAAATGGCATCTGAGGAAAAACAGAAGTGAAAGGGCTTATTCGCTTTTTGAATAAATCTGAAAACTGTGGTACGGTCAGTGAGGTAGCAAAAGCCTAGTGACTCTGGGTAACTTTCCTTGAAAAATCTTGTTTACTTCTCCTGGGTGAAGCAACATCCAAAGCCTCCCCACCAGTCCTTTGGGTAATCTGGGGTCAGGCACTTCCGGGTAGAAAGGGAGATAATGAAAACTGACTTACGTCAATATTGGACACAAACACAGTGAAGCGACCTACCAAGGAAAACTCAGGGAAAGACATGGGTATCTTTCACAAAGGAGACAAAGAAGGGAGGTCACAAAGAATGAGACCAAGTACCTCAAGAGAGAGAAGCCAAGACTCATGAGGCATCATTCCTGAAGCTACAGAGGGACAGGACTAGCATGGCTGAGAGGAAAGCTGGTCAAGGTGTGGAATTCTTCGTATTGAGTTTCTAGGAAAAGCAGGTTTATAAGTGTTGACAAAGTCTGGAGAATGCATGTGACAACAGGTACAGTAGGCGGGGTCAGGAAGAACAGTGAAGCCGTTCAAGGCTCTGAAGCTCGTGTGTGTGGATTTTGAAATCACCAAATGTTGATCGAAAACCTGGGAGTGGAAAAAGTGAAGCTGCCTTTAGTAGTCAGGAGGGTCCAAAGTCGCTTCCCAGCGTGACTTGGCAGGCAACTCTTCTTGACATGACCTGGACATTGCTCCTGTGTTCACTGGCTTCCTAGCTCAAGCCTTCAGTCTTCCAGCTCTGTCGTCTGTGCCGCGGGCATTCGCAAATGCTCTCTACTCCCTCTTAATTCATGTGTGCCTCTTTTTATTACATGTCCACAATTCCAAACTTGGCTGCAGCATTTTATGTTTTTACAACACCTTGTCAGCTAGACAATGAAAGGTATTCTGTAGGGCTTTCCTACCAGACAGAAACATCCTG